CCTGTTCTGTTTGAACCCCTCCCCCCAGATATTCTCAGTTCCCTTCCAGGACACTACTTCCACCTTCTGCTCTAAAACAAGTTCTCTCTTCTGCAGGCATAGAGTGTAGAATGCTCAATATGACACACTCTATAAGCCCAGTTCTTTTTCACCTATTACTCTTAAACACTTCTATCTATCTCCACCTCTGGCTTTACTAATACTATTTTTTTTAGTATTCTTCTGCAGGCTGATCTTGTTTGACCTGTGCATTCTGTGTTAACTGTGCATTCCTGAAAAAGCAGCAGCAGCCAGTTTGCCATTTCCTTAGCTATCCCTCTGAGATCACCAATCTGTACAGGGCCTAAGATGAACCTTAGCATCCATCCCAGCTGCATGAGTACTGTCCATTATTCTTTCTAGCTGTAACCTAGATACAGATTGAAAATCTTTCATCCCAACTGGTATTTTTCAAACTGAGAAGTATGGCAAATTCTTCACGGAAACAATCCTGGCAGCTTCTTTCCCTCACATAGAATGGCATTCCCTCTGAGGGCTCAAGACTCACTTAGGTCAGCTGTGCCCAGTTCTGCAGTGCTTCTCAATTATTCGGCTGCCAATTTGGTTAAAATATTATTATTATTATTATTATTATTAAAGGCCAAATCATTAGGCCTGGTTATTGAGCTACCTCTCAGTTTATCACACTAAGATATTCAGAATTTAATGATTTTCTCATCTGAATATAGAAACATAGCTTTTTTTTCTGACATATTTTATGCATACAATATTGATTGTCATAAAAATCAGTTCATTTAAAGCATAAATAAATTAGGAGTCTACTGCAGATATTATAGAAGGATTCCCTGTTCCTTAGTTAACCATATTGAGTGGCAGCTTTCCCGAGATCTCTAATTGATTTAATAGCACAAGGTCAAATATTTCCATTTGCACAGGCTATGCCTCCAGCCAGCCAGATACCACATTCTCATTGAGTGGGTTATCAGGTAATCTGCTACTGGAGGACATATGCTCCAGTTAGATATCCGAGATGATTGTCTTACCTTTAGCCTCAGTGAGGACTGTAGTACAGATATTTCAGTTGACCTGTCATGCCCTGATGAATTAACTTACTATTTCTTCTTTATCTGCAAACCTTTTGTCATTTTTTATGTAGTACCCTCATTCTTAAAGGGTCAGAGTATAATATATTTGAAATTATTACTTTATTTTCAGAAGTGTTATCCCGCTGCAACTTCCTGGTGTGCATGTTGTCTAGCCTGCTAATAAAATGTTTAAAGAGTCTGTTTTATGTTTCAATGCTGAAATTGGTCAATTTAATACACTTTCCCCACAAGGACCATGGTGTTCCTTGTGTTAAAAGACTACACTGAAAGACTCTTAAAAGATAAGACTCATTTTTGTCCTCCTACTTTATTGATTGATTTATTGATCCCAGACCAAGACCTGCATGCTGTAAGACAGTACTTATATTATTTCAATTAAATATAAAAGTAGAATGTTATCATATTAAATAATTTGTAAAGCTCTACTGCCATCTTAGCTATAAACAGCAACTATGACAAAGCAATCTGGAAATCTTCAATTCATCCATTTTCTAACCACTTTATCCAAGTAATGGTCGCAGAGCAGCCAGAGCATATCCCAGCAAACAAAGGGCGCGAGGCACTATACACCATGGAACGAGAGACCAGTCCATCACAGGAAACACACAGACACAAACATATGCACACATTGCCACCAATCTGGAATCAGACAGTTCAGAAATAATACTGCCAATAATACTGCCCTACAAAGAAGTATTGTAATGTTTCAATGATTCCAACAAAAATTCGTAAAATGTATTTCGTAAACTTCATAAGCACTAGTGTGACAAACTGTTAATTAATATACTACAATCTTTTTAGTATTACGTAATATATTAGCAAAATGCACTATCGTACCAAATACTGTTTAAATTCATCAAAGAATTTTAACTAAAAACTCTTCCTAATTTATTATTATTACTTATAAAAGCACTGAATGCCATATTCTGTCAATTCCTTATATACTGAAAAAGAACAACTTCATCTTTGTCTTTCAAAACATACACACCAGACTTTACATACAACGTTTACTGTCTGTGCAGAATCTAGTAAACAAGAGGCTAAATTTTCCACCACTTTATTCCAAATCTTTTCTTCTCGTCAGGTCATCTTTCAAACAGCACAGCAATGCGAATGAATAATTTGTTTAGAGCCAGACTTCACCACCCTCCCATTTTTAAATCCCGGGAAAAAATTCCAAGGCAGTGGAACAACAGCACAGATTCAACAGATTGCATGTGTAATTCATCAACCCTGCTGATTAATGCGTTTACTAAAACAAAATTTTGTTAAGCTGTCAAGCACAGGCCCTCCTCTCACATGAATTTCAATTTCTCTAATCCCTCAGTGAGACTACTGTGGCTGTGAACCAGTTACCGAGAAAAGCCAATACCATCTCCAAGTCTGCCAGGTCTGATAACTGAATTTCTCTGGTACACAAACTGAATACTCACTTAAAACAATATTTAGCCTACAATACTGTAGTGGTGGGATCATAAAAATACACAGCAGTGTGACAGGTTATTAATACTTCAGAGGACTTCAGTGCCTGGAAGAAGACAAGCCTAAACTAAATAAGAGCACGTTATTTGCTGTATACAAGTACATTATAATGTCAATGCCAAATATTATCTGTACCGTAACACCACACCCTCCGTAAGCTCCTGTAGATGAGCAGCAATGCCTGATGTCTTGCACTTCTCCAGGCACTTAATGGAAAGGTGATTTTTAACATCTGCATTTAGACTATAAAAATAACACTGTAATGATTTAGTTTTCAGTGAGAGAGATTGCTATGAGCTTTGCCTCATTAGACCAACTTCTATCACAAATCCTCCCGATAATACCATCCTGTACCCTCAAATGTTGAAATCTGTCATACATCCTTAACTGCAAAATGTGAAATTAACCCCAATCTAGGAGGTGGTGTTGTGACAAGACGTATTGTATATTATTACTAGCTTACGTTTTGCAGCACTTAGAAGAAATATGATTTTTTTCCAAAATGTTCTATAAAAATGCAAAATCTGTGGTTTTAAGACTGTGGGGTTGTGACAGGCCTACCACTCCTCGGGTTGCTCAGGAGGCCTGAGCACATGGGCAACACAGACAAAACACAAAGGAGTGTGAAAAGATTTAAGAAAAGCTCCTCCAGACAAAACAAAAGAAACACTCTAAAAACCTAACATCAATTATCCTTGTGAATCACTTTATATACCAGACCTAGCTAAATTAAAGCCATGTGAGAATGTGGTTCTCAGCCCTACACCAAAGATTTAATTAATCAATTAATCAAGTACAGCAGCACTGGTGTATCTATATACAAGTGCCTTCTAGTGGCAGATCAGCTGAAAGGTAATTATTACTTGACTGCCACAGTGATATTCTCAGTCCTGTGACAAATGTCTGTTAGTAACTGGCACAAAAGGACATTTCTGCCATCCACACATGTAGATCTTTACAATAGATGAAAGGCCATGGTCATTTTTTCACTTAGCACTTGTGGAATGATCTCACATTGTGCCCATATTAAGTCAATGGACAATGAACAATACAGCCTACAATACAAACTATGCTTACTTTGTTTGAGCTAGAATAACAACAGCTACAGACAGGATGATTGGACACCAAAGAATGCTTACACAAACAATTCCCATAGTCTACAGAGGCCGTTAAACATTAGGCCTGCTTCATGCTGTCTCTCTGCTTCACATTCTGCCAATTCATGTCTTCACGGAATTGTTAAAATATACAAAACTTCTTTCATCATAGCAGGGGACATGTTCCTTTTGCAAAAGAATGATCTCTTCCCATTAACTTCAGATAATTAGCTGGTGTGCATGTGTTAGGTGAGATTACTAGATCATAAAGATACTTTCCCCTAGACAAAGCTGCTACTTACAATTTTTAGGGCCAGATTACAGAACACAATAAAAAGCTTTTTTTTTAAATTCATCACTCTGTTTGATGTTTGATTAAAATAGACTGATAAACTGATTCAGATACCTGTGGAAATAAAGCTAGCACTGACCATCTTAGAAGACCTTCAGCTGAGGCAGAACTATAGACAACAGAGAGACTGAGGAAATCATTTACAAGAAGACAACATGATGGTAGCAAAGACTCTTTCCACAGGAACAGCACCAGGGGTGGCCAGCAGCTTCCCACCCCTGAATCAATAGGACCATTACGCAAGTTAATGCTTTTATTTTACAAAGGGTTGACAAAGGCCTTGGGAGCAACAGGATCATGCAGATTCTTGGAAAGCATGAAAGAATGAAAACCATTGTTTTTATTACATAAACAGTCTACATTACGCCTGTAAAAACATCAAGAAAAACCTTTCCCCAAACATATTCATGTTGCATGAATTTCTAAGGATTTTAGAGTTTGAGAGTTCATGCTTTCTATGTAGGGTTACCTAATCCCAGAAATCTACATTTTCTTTTTAGTGGCAAGAAACACCAAGTTCATTTCATTAATCTACTTAACTGCTTAACAGACAAAATACATCTGTTTGTCAGATCAAATTATTATAATAATTTTAATAATTTCTTACACTTACATAGCACTTTTCTGGACACTCCACTCAAAGCTCTTTACAGGTAATAATACTAATAATAAGAATACTAATAAATAATGGCTTACACTTACAGTATATAGCGCTTTCCTAGACACTTCACTCAAAGCACTTTACAGGTAATGGGGACTCCCCTCCACCACCACCAATGTGTAGCCTCACCTGGATGATGCGACGGCAGCCATAGTGCACCAGAACACTGTCTGTCCAGCTCTCAGTGGGGAGGAGAGCAGAGTAATGAAGCCAATTCATACATGGGGATTATTAGGAGGCCAAGATTGGTAAGGGCCAATAAGAAATTTGGCCTGGACGCCGGGGTTACACCCCTACTCTTTTCGAGAAACGCCTTAGGATTTTTAATGACCACAGAGAGTCAGGACCTTGGTTTTACATCTCATCTGAAGGACGGCACTTCATTCAATTGACGTCACCCTGGAACAACAATTATATAAACATTAACAATCAGTAGTAGCCATATTAACAGTAAATTACTTTAAAATTAATCCCTAAACTACATTTTATTCAAGGTATGCGATATTGCCTGTTTTTTACAGTATTGTGTCTTTGAGTGTATAACTGTAAGGAATTATCAGTACAATTTTTTTATATTTCAGTGTTATTACCAGTAGTATTATAGCAGTACTAGCATAAATGCATGCGTAGGTATAGTACTGTGATTTCTTTTTGATGGTTATTAAATAGGGGTCAAACGCAAATGGAAAATGGAATTCAAATATATATATAATAGACTCTTTCAGCTGTTAATTACGGAGAGCTATTTCTAATTTCTTATTTCCTGAGTGATTTTTATTTTCATTACAAGTACTCTAGCGACCTCTACTGTACAAGTCTGATTTCAGCTGTATTTGTCACTTCATCAAAGCACACAACTGGGCTGGACTGATAAAAAAATTAAATCCATAATCGTATTTAATTTAGTTCGGTTCACTTAGTATTCTGGGAAGAAAAAGAAAATATGTCATAGACACAAAAGAGAATCAGAAATGGAAATTGTATTGGAAAACTGCCAAACTGATAAATGTTTGCATAATGCTCATGCAATCTAAGTATATTAAGTTTACTCAGGAGAGTTTGCATGGTGGAGTATAAAACTAAGTGACAGTTCACTCTAGCCCTCACTGAGACTTCTGCGTTGTTTAATGGCAGATTGTACCCAGAACCTGGCTTGTATTATATTTTATAACACAGGGCTATTTCACTTTTATCCTCGTCTTCACAGGACAGATTTTCAGCGAATTTCCTTTTGTCCCAGGACCGAAGTAAGGAAACACTTTCTCAGTGAAGCTGTCCTTAAAACTGTAGATAATGGTCATATCTCTGGTGTCCAGGAATGACACCTCCCCTCTGTCATAGTCAAGCTTCACTCTGATCTTCCTGGGTATCCTCTTCAAATTTAGCTTTTCCGTTGATGTGGATTGATATTCATGCTCAAACCACAGACTTATGCCCCAGAATCCTTCTTCTGGGGCTGGAAAGATATCCTCTTTCCTGCTGACTGACTCTTTTGCCACACCCAGTGTCCACCCTAATTTGTCTTCCACCAGAACATCCCAGCAATGTCTCCCCGACGTGAATCCTTCAGAGCCCAGAACATACAGAAATTCACTAAATCGTTCTGGGTTGTTAGGGGGCTGTTCTTGTTCATTACTGTATCTCACAGCTGTTAAATCTTCAGACAATGTCAAAGATGAGCTTGCAGTGTTTGGATCCAGAGTCACTGGGGCTAAAATGGGAAGGAAAGGGGTTAAATGTGACCTGTTAGAAGATTGGACAATGCAGGCAGTAGATTTTCCACTACAACAATCAAGCTATCATTAATCATCAGTTTATAGACTTAAAGGAAATGGAAACAAGTTATTCAAAGTCTTCAAAAGGTGTTGATTTAACATCTAACCTGTCTAACAGTGGGACACCATCACTATTCACAGAGAAAATGTAAATTTAATTTAGTTTGGAATCAATTTCTTTTTAAATGTAAGACTTTTGAAACAAATGTTTGAATTTCTTGAATTGCATCATATGATCCTTGGATCTCATTCAGGCATAAGTAAAATTGCGAATATGCACCAATGAGTACAGTAGTTATTACTATTTGAATTGGTTGATGTTATTTTTCAAAGCAACTTATACTTGCACACATTTTCACAGCAGGGTATATTACTAAAGCAATATGGGTGAAGTACCTCACTCAGGGATACAATATCTGTGTTTTGAACCTGCAATCTTGTGGTTAGAAGTCTAAACCTTGTTCCACACTGTCACTTGTACAAAGATACATAGTTAAGGAAACTGTTTTTGATTAATTCTAAGCAATAGTACTTACTAGCTCTACTGAAAAAATAATTTCATACCAATTCTTCCCAGTACTCACTATATTGAACAATCCCCTGCATCTTCTCCCAGACTCTGTATGGCAGTGAGCCCAGGTGTTTGGCCATATCTAGCAGTGCTCCTGAAACCAGCTCTGGATCCTGTAGTGTGCATTGGGCTCTGTAATAATTCAGGAGTCAGTGCTGCTTTGAGTTCACACGTAACACAATCGGCAAAAAGAGACCAGGCTCAAGTTCACATACTGTACCTTTTCTTAGTGATCTGGAAGTTCTGAAACACATAAGAGACTGGTCTTAATTAGTAATTCTGAAATCAGATATCTAAAACATATAGGCTTGTTGCATAAAAAAACAAGTGTTTCCAAAAAATATAAAATATGGGAATGTAGGGAGTAAAAATAGTACTATTTCTCACATAATAGTGTGGTCCATGTTATGCTTTTGCTGTGTATTATGTTATTACTGTTATTGATTATTAGACAACAGGTTTCTATGTCCTTTTCTGTCATACTATGTACGCCTTTAACCACAACTTAATCTCAGGTATCTTCATTATTGCCCATCTACTTATCCAGGGCTAACAAGCTATAATCCACAACAGTAGCAGTGTCTCGTAACTTTAAAGACAATAGAATAACCTGCAATAATTTCAATATGATATGAATATTTGATTTGGAATCATTTAAAACAATGTAAAGATCTATACAATAAAATGATGCCAAGTACTTTTTAAAGTTGAAATATTTACCTTCAGGAAGGAAATGTCATCAGTCTCCATTTCCTGTTCTATGGCTCTGATTAAGTCTGACAGAGATGAGATTTTTCTTGTGAGGTTTTCAATCTTCTCTTTCATTATCAGACTTTTGACTTCTTCTTCCTCCCTTAGTGTAGTCAGCCTGGCCACCTCTTCCTCTCGTAGAAACTGGTGAAGCTTCTCAAACTCCTCCTTTATCTGTCTCCCCGTTAGGTGGGCCTGGACCTGTAAGTCAAAAGATGATGGTACTGTACATTTGGAACATCTTCATTTAAGGAATTTAATCTGTATTGTCAATGCCAGCTGTCCTACCTTAATATGGTCTGCTGTTTTAACACAAACTTGTTTGACTTCATTAAAGAATTCCAGCTTGTCCTTCAAGGATTTCACTGCCGTCTCAATTTTTTCCTAAAATAAATAAGGGCTCATGCTGTGAGGAAGAAATTAAATTCATGACTTCAATGACCAAAAAATACCTCATATACATACAGTATATAATTAACGCTCAACAATGGAGCTCTCTTTTTAAATTATTTAATTATGTACAGATTTAATTCTGGACTGGGGAATCTCAGACTGTGGAGCTTATGTGTTCTGTTCTCAACTATTATACATTATATATGTGTCTGCTCTGCAATGGACTGTGGAGTCCTGCCTTGCACTCCATGCTTCTGGAATGGGCTCCAGGATGTCACATCCCACTATTATATTTGAGTTTTAAAGCACATTCTGAAAGAATACACGATATATTATTATCTTTGCCTTATACAGCATCTTATATCACATATTATCTGTACAGGTTCTGTACAATAACAGAAAGCAAAAGAAAAACATTGGAAATGCATGACTTTGTATTTTAATACAAATATTTGATTTTTACTTTAATTCAATAGAATTAAAGACTAGAGTACAGAATATGTTTTAAGAGAGAATTTAAAATTACTGATTGACTTGTCTAATATGTGCTATGAAATCATTTTAGACCTTTGGTCAAACAAAAAGTATAATTGTGCCAAAACCATAAACAGATTTATAACAGAATCAGATCAGCAAACTCATTTAGAAATAATTACAATAATTATTTACTTTATTTTGTTTTCAGTATTTTGTATCATGTTTTTCATTGCAGACTTGTTCCTAAAGTGCTACAAGCCACAGATTAAGCTAATAGTAAGCAAATTATTCCTACTGAGCCATCTGAGTGATCTGTAAAACGTAACATAAAATAAACTCAAGTGGCTATGATACATTAAGAGAAAAACATCTTTAATGGTTTCACAAAGCAAAACAGTTTAATCAAATACCCTTTTCATACCTTGAAATCCACTGCCGCCTCTTCAATAGGAGTGCATTCATGATGTTTATGTTTTTTGGAAGTCTGACACACAACACAAATGGGCACTTGGTCGTTCAAACAGAAAAGCTTTGGTTTCTCTCCATGCAGCATGCAGAGTTCTTCAGACTGCTCTGTAGGACTTTTGCTGTTCTTCTTTAAGTAGGACTCCACAATATTTCTTAAAGCAAGGTTGAGTGGGGGGTTATCTGTAGAAGACCTCCTCCTGCAAAAAGGACATTCCCTGGAACTATTCAGCTTCCATGTCTTCTCTAAGCAGGCTTTACAGAAGCTGTGGCTGCACTTCAGGACAACAGGATTCATGAAGATTTCACAGCACACAGAACAGGTGAGCTCATCCTCCAGCTCAGAATTTCTTTCTGCCATTTTATCACAGAGGGATAACTTGCATTCCACTCCAAAATGGCGTTGTTTTGCAATAACCCTTACTCAGTTCTGCTTTCAGTTTTACTCTCAGCATTGGTTAGGGAGAGATAAAACATCACATTCGTGCCGGTGGGCGGGTTCATCTTCAGTTTTGAAAATAGCTGCATCATGCTGCAGCATTCACTGTACTAAATGTTCACAGTTGCCTCTTCAGAAAGCTTAAGCTACATCATGTTAACACAGCAAACAATTTCAATATTTTTGAACAGGTAGACACTGATTTTAACACATTTATCCAAATCTCTTCAAGCTTGTGTCTCTATAAAAAGAAAACTTTCATGTTCATTTCAACTTCTTTTTTATTTTTTTTTTACTTCCTTTAGAATATTGGGATAGAATGCATTCTAGAATTTTTTAATTCATGTGGAAATGGAAGTGATCACATATTAAAATTAAAGATCCATGGTAAGTTTATTTTAGCTCTTCTTGCAAGCAAGATATCACGTTGTACTGTATGTATGTGCTGTTCTTGTTACTAATGAGACTAATAAGAGATCTGTTTATTTGGTTCAGTATTTTCATGTGATCTGAATTGCAGATTATTTTATCCATCAACCCTTAAGGCTGTATAGTTCCAATCCAGCTGTGCTGGCTTTCATCATCTTGACAGACTAAATGTGTACTCGAGCAGAGACAATCAGATAAACAGGGAACTCAATGGAGACCACAGTAGGGTAGGAACATGGGCTTTGCCTTCTGCATTTGAGTGTTTTAACAACTTTAATATGTCCGATGTAATGTAGCCTACAGTTTGACTTTGGGCCTTGCAGTCTGCTTCCTAGACCCATAGCAGAACTTTAGTTTGCCTACTTTTTGTGACAAGTTGTGCATTTCTGCTCCTCATTGGTAGAGACTGCATTCTGCCTTGAAAGCAAATGGTATGTTTTTCCCTACCATAGTACATTGAATATGGAGCATAGTCATTATTTTTTCTAGTTGCTTCACACTTAGCCTTGTGAGCTTCTTTGTCAAAAAAGGCTACCATAGCAACCTCTTAGAAGACAGGCAGAGGTAGGAGCTTTGGCAGGGTTCAATTAGACAGCTTTAACAAAAGTGCACAGCAGGAGGCAGTGACACTTTTCCCATTGATAATAACTGCTTACATGCATGTTTTATGTAGTAAAAGACATGCTCTTACTGTATGTAAATGTTTCAGAAATCTAAACATTTTTAAGCAGACTTTTCACTCATTTTTACAATATTATCAGCCCAAGGTCTGGAGCCTATTTCATTCTGTATACATAAACATTTCACAAAATTAACAATGTACAGGTGTCCCTGTTCAATACTAGTTCATCCTTGGGCATCTGTGAATTTGGTTAAAAAACCTGTATAGTGTACACGTAATAGAGGAGGTGACAGAGTACAGAGGGCTGCATAAATACTGACAGAGCAAGCCCCGCTCCCAGACTACGAACATCGGCTGCCCTACACAGCTCAGCTCACACCATGATGAAGGCAATGCTGGTCCTACTGCTCTTGCTGCCACTTTGTGCAGGTCAGTCACTGCTGGGGTTCAGCTTGTTTTTCCGCACTCATCAATACTGGGTGGAGATGAATACCAAAAGGTTTTCTTGTTAATGGTTTTGCTGTTATGGTTATATGCTTATATGGCATTGTATAAAAGTTACACTTGGGAAATGTGACAATGCAATTCCACCTTTCCTCATTTCAGCCGATTTTTCTATCGAATGCTATGGAGAAGATTTCCTTTTTGTCCAGAATGAGGTCCTTCAGTGTTCCAGTAAAGTTCCTCAAGCCTGCTACACCAGAGGTTGGTTTGATTTGTGATAAATGACAGATTATTAAACAGTACAATCTGTTATACAAGACTGACATATTACTTATCAATACTGTAGCTTGTTAATCTAATTTGTGTTTTGGGAGAGGTATATTATCAAGTACTATCAAGATCTTGGTAGAGGTTTGACCTCTGTAGCAAATCAGTTATGGAAGACTGTATTTTATTAAACTGGTTGACAGAAGGATAAACTTTAATAAAAATGAAAACGGATGTCACTTTTAAAGATGCTTTCGCAAATCCTTGAGATCCTCTGTAGAGGAAAGAAAACAAGTTAAGAAAACACATATGAGAGCTAGACTAGGAGAGATTAGTTCTTATTTGTCCTGCGTCGATTTCCCTCAGACACTGGGGAAAAGGGCTGTGCCACCCTGGATTTCTGCAAACGCCCTGGCTGGAAATGCTGCTCCGAGAATCGTTGCAACGAGTGAGCCCTGGGGCCCTCTGTTATCCACACTGCACACCTCTGCGAGGATGAAATAAAAGCACTGTACCAGTCCTACCCCCGTGTCTGTACTTGTGATTTAAATATAATTTCACTGATGTGGGCCTTCACGCAAATTTCAGGGAGAAGGCTCTTTCCATATCCCTTTCTTATTATCCGAGCTCAAAGGTTGTTTGCATTTCAGTATTTGAGCTTCGGGTTTACCCGGGTTTACCTTTGTGTGTTTCAAAAATATATCTGAAAAAAAGCAGCAATTGGTAACTTATTAATGGGGTAAAAATATGGCACAACATTTGAACAAAATGACTGCAGGTTTTAACATCTAATTAAAAAACAGGTATCTAGTGCTACAACTCCTTTGTTATTATACTAAACTGTTTTATCATTTTAGCTGGATTTTATTTGAGGGTTAAAAAAAGAGAGGAACAAATTGTGTGGTGAAAGCTTTGTACGGTGCCAAAGAAAGGATTTGTAGCCTAGGGAAAATTGGTATCAACTGGAAACTCACTGAAAATTGGTATAAACTCTGGGAGATGTTGCTCATTTCTAAGCCAGAATAAAAACACACGGCCCTTTAAATAACAACATTTTTGCCCGGGACGTTGGGGTTGTTGATTGTGTGCTTTTGGAAAACAACATGGGGTTACTCTCCAGTTCAAAGACATTTACCATCCCAAGGACACATGCGATAAAAGAGCAGCCATGAAGTGAAAGAACAGGAAAAACTGGAAAAAAACAACTGGAGAGCCAACTCAGAGATGGAAATGGGAAACTGATAGTCTGCAAACCCAATAAAAAAGATATCTGAAGACTAATCCAGCTATGTTCTACAATAACAATTACATAAGACAAGCAACTCAAGAGACAAACTCTTTTCTTTAAAACGCCACAACAAATATATATTTGTGATTAAAAGACAAAACAAAAACAAAACCTTCCATGATACAGTGCTTAACAGTATTGCTATGACTCAAAGTTAGTATTACATCTGCTTTCCCTATTCCCCAGTTTTCCAACCTGTGTTTAAGTGGACAGCAGCTCAGAGCACTTATTGGAAACTTATACCAGACAGGAACATTTCTACTGTATTAATTACAAGAAGTGAAGTGATGGAAATTGCTCTAAAGGTTTAAGGGAAAAAATCACCACACAAAGAAATGCTCACATTTTTATCAATTTCTCTTCATAAGTAAGGGTATAATGAGCTGCATATTTCACAGCAATCTACACTCATCTTGCTCATGAGAAGTTACTTCATCCATAATTCATGACACACAGACAATTTTCACTCACTTTTCATTTTTATTTTTTTTTAAATCTTCAGTTTTTTTCTGCCCTTGTGACAGGAATGCATGAGAGACAGAATGGCTCAAACATCTTCACGTGAAACACCTTTTTTGTCATTTATATCTCATTAATGATTTGTTTTCATTATTCTTCTCCATTTCGCAACAGCTTCAACAATTACATTGTCCCGCACATTAACTTCTGTAATCATTGCCCTGTAACAGTTACACAAAGGATGCCTAATTTCAAAACCTATAAAGGCATTTGCAAATATGAGCTTAAAGGCTCTCTAACCCAGTTTTTCAGCAGAAGTGAGATCCTACCCTCTCTCTTTCCAAACACCCCACTATATCTTTCTTGCCTGGAAAGTCACCCTACATTCACAGCTAGACAGGAATTTATTCAAGGCTGACATTTTATATCAATTTGGGAATTATGTGTTTTATTTTGGATTCTAGCCCACCTGACTCAGAAACTGCAGCAACAAAAACGAGCCCTTCATCTTTTGAAATGACAGAAATTAAACCACAGACAGATACTGTACATCACCAAAATGCCTGTTACAAACACTGCAGGTATACTTTGGCCAAATACTTATATTCATATATGATACAGCATTATGTATTCGAGCAGCTTTATGCTGTACTTGTACCATGGTCTTTTTGTAGTTTATGAACTGGTTGGCTGAAAGCTAACCCCAGAAATCCTTAATTAAATGACTGTTTACACTTCGTGGTCACTATCCACTACTTTAACCTAGGTTATGGACTTCTGAGGATTCTGCAGTGTGGCCATCCGTCCAAACCAAGGGGAGAACTGTGGAAAAGTGGGAGTTATTCTCCCTGTAACCTCTGCTGCATTCCCGGTTCCTCTGAGAAAGCAAAGCAGTAATCTTGGGGACATTCACACATTTGACTGGAGGCCCCGATTAACTGACTGCAGCAGTTTCTAAGGAAGCAGGTTAAAGGTCACTTATGCACTACAAACCAGAACACTGCTCTCAGAAAGACAAGGCAGTCAGGGTTAGAATACCCTGGTTTCATCTAGTTAAGACAAATGGAACATCCCTCTTAAATATCATCTGAGCTTCAGCACTTAGTGCATATACAGTATCTTACACATCTACAAGCTGTAGAGTTCTACACTAGTTGCAAAGGTATTGCATACAATTGTGCTAAAATGACTGGAAATGTTATATGTGATAGATCAGATATTTGATTTTTTTTCTAATGACAGTGCTACTGGACACTGCACATTGTCAACAGCACTGCTTAGAATTTCCAAAACACCTTAAAAAGTGCACCTCACTCAGGATTCATCAGCTTGCTGAGTTTCGGACTTTCTGTTCTTTTAAGCCTGTTCAAAGGAGTGATCATTCTTTTAACTCAAAGTTTGGATTAGATCTGCTTTCCCTATTTTTCCCTATAAACAGAATGGATGGACAATCAGCTACAGGTATTTACACACAGGTATACCATTATATACAGAACTTAACCACAACTGAATGCATAAACAGAAAGTGAGGAAATTCAGACAAGATGAATATATGCACCAAATGGGTGTGTTTTGTATGAATGTTGTCATTTATGTAATGCCTTTCACGTCTTAGTAATAATATTGTTTTATGAAATTATTCCAAAATACTATGTATGCCACTGCTGCACGGAACTTTGCATTCCTTAAACTATACCATCTGAACCAAACTAGCATAATGAGGTTTGGATCCAAAAGCAAGCGCAATGCAATTCTGCAGCAATAACCTTAAGCCACTGTGTGCAGAAATTGAGGATGCATTTTGTTGCCACTAAAAAAAAAACCCAAAACTTCAGGAGCTATGTTGATGTAGCAACTAGTGACCGTAAGGAGAGGGATAAATGCTCAATGTTGCTGTTTCTGACCAAAAATGTCTTTCTGAGAACCTGTTCCTCCCCTTCTAATGATCAAACCACCCCAACAACTACAGCAAAATCGTTTAACATTCCTCCGTACAAAAAAAAACACATTTTTGAGTAATGATCTAAAATGCAAGGAAAGTAAAAGTTTTCTTTTCAGACCAGCTGGAAGTTCAAAAGGATTTTTGAGATTTCCAAGGGTATATTCATTGTACCCAATCCCACATATGTTATAATACTGAACTGTCATGTTTCATCATCTTATAGCTTCAGACCATTCTTCAAAACACCTTTCAGCTTCATCTGATTACTTCATCAGATCACTCATACGACACTGACAGGACACCTACAAGGTTCCTCTACATCAGTCTCCATAATAATTATCATCAAATAATGTGAATACATATCCCCTTTCTGTACCAATATTTTATACTCATTTCAAAAACTATAACTTCTAGAATAAGAGTCTTGTGAAGCAATGAGAAACTATAGCAAAAAATAAGACTCTGCAGTGAGCATTTATATAGCTCTTATTCCTGCTCCTGTATTTCATTGTCTACCCTTGAACCTGGTTTTTCCTCCTGGTTTAGTTTTATGCTTCCAGAGGCAAGAATTGGCTCTTTAAGTGCATTTATTCCCACTGTGGGGGAGATCTGGGAGAAATTGTAGACATTCTTTGTGTCCACACCAGCAGTTACACAACACTGAGGTTGCACGTGAATATGCATTCTGTTAAGAGATACAACATTTGTCATAATGTGTAATAAGGATTATGGCACTTTAGAAAATGACTTCTTGGACTCATGTGGCCAACCAGTCTTTGCCTATTCTAGTACTTAGCCATAGAAAAATATACCAGCCAGGGTTTGTGCTCTCAGTGACTCTAGTGTTATAACCACATGGCCCGGAAAGTAAATTTTAAAGATTAAGTTCTCTACTGAACTAGATTGACCCTGCATAACCTCCACAGTAAAATAGCAACTTCCAGCTGGCATGTAGAAAAGCCTTTTATTTCCTTTACAAGTAGATTTAATATCACCTAATGCTTGGAAAAAATAAGCAAATAAGCTGTTTGGAGAGTAAGAGGTTCCCTCCTTGCTTGATGGCTGTATACCTGATTTTATTGATCCTGAGTAGATTTATCGGAAGGGAATGACAGCTTGGATGCACTTTGGAATGGCGCAATCGCGTAAACTCTGGCTTTGCACACTTAAGACTTTAAAAGAAACTCAGTCTGAAAAAAATCTCTAACCAACCCTACAAAATGCAGCAAATTACTGAAAAAAATCTAGATATCTGAAGTATAAATAAGATCATAGGAAATGCATGTTCTGTCTGAGAAGTCTTTATAACAATAATCAATACAAAATGAGGGTAAGCACTTATTCCATGTGTATTTGCTGGTTGGAGCATCATATAAAAGTCAAATTTGACATCATTGTCTTTTGATAAGATAACAGCATTGGATACATGGCTGATAAAAAGAACATAAAAGAGACTTAATTCCAGAGGATCTCAAACAAGAAATAAATCAAGACCTCTGAAAATTTCTGAGCATGGGAACCTTCATTGACTCATACCCACAACTACGAAACATCGATGAGTGTTACGTTCACAGCTATTGCATGTTGTTCGCAAACAACAGCACGAAAGAGGATGAACATTTCACAATGTAGTCACAATCACAACATTTGCAAAATTTAAAATTACCCAAAGTGGCCCTCCACCCCTACACCGCTGATCAAACATGACAAACTACCTAACAGTCTGTATATTCTTATCCGATTCAGTGGAGACCTCTTCTTGCCTGTGTTGCTCTACCTTATCTTACCACCGGGTGGCAGTGTGTGGAGTGTGTGGAAAAAAACTGCTGTCTGGTCCCTCACCAGTCAGGATGCAGAAGGTGCACCGAAAATAAACACTACAACCCAGGACCAAGACTCACCATGGCCAAGGCATGCCCGACACTCCACCACCAACTCGATCAGCACTCCAGCAAGAGTTTTCACTGAGGGCTCAGCTTAAAGCCAGGAGCTATAAAGAATTTTATAGGGTACAATTCCAGCTGGAGCAGAGGATTGCTACCAATTAGCTGAGTTTTTGGCATAGGCAAGATCACCTCAGCAAATTCACGTTGTTGTTGTACTGTATGTCATCCAATTTCCTTTTCATGAATTATACATGTATATAAAAAATGTCAGTATTAAGTTGTACTCATTTAATAATGCCAGTTCATGGTTTATAAAGCCACGACTGAGGCCCTGGTCATTATGTCTCTGCCAGCTTGTCTTCAAACATACATGCTGAAGTCCAAATACTGCTTAATTAACAGCAGCTTTCCGCTGATCTCCCCTCTGCCTTTTGTACTAAAATCACTAAAGCTTTCCAGTATGATGTTAGAAAAGGTAATTCAAAGACAGTTTAACTTTGTTTACAATGGAACAATGCTCTCTTCCATTAAATACTTCAATATGGTTCTTACTCAACTATAATGCCCATCACAGGATGTTATTGCTGTCAAGGAATCCCTGGACTGTCTGAAGTGTTCTTCTTAAATCGTATTTATCGCTGTAGATACTGTAAGTGAGCAGGGCATAATTAATTCCCAATTTAACCAAAGAAAACAACCAAAAAAATCAAAAGTCAGCTTTTCAGGAGAACAAATAAAAAACAAAAGCAAGAAAAAGAGACCACATTTCATTCCTAAAGGTCTCAGATAATTTGATTTGTCACAGAACCCATGTTTTTTTTCTGCACCCTTTGAAATAACTCTGAAGTTGCATTGTTCACCAGAATATTTTGTGTTTGTGTGTGTGTACTGTATGTGTGCTTTCTCATGATTAGATTTTTTTTTCACTTCTTTGCAAAGCTCAATCAGCTGTATATATTTTTTTTCATCCCAAGTAATTAAAAACACCAAGTACACAACCCCCTAGCCATATGACTGGACCTAAAATCACAAAGCAGAAGAGAAGTCTCCGTTCCTTTCCTCTTTTGCTGGACAATTATCTTTGCTCTCTCTGGAAAAAGTGTGCTGTACCCCACTGAAAAAAAAAACAACAAAACATCTAGAAGAGAAGCAGCACTGGCTTTATCTTCTCAGCAGCCTGTCTGCTTCCACTTCACTTTACCCCTGACCCTGACCTGCCCTCACGTAACCAACTCAAGAAATAACATAAAAGAACCTGAAAAGCAAAATTGTCGAGGCCCCCTGGAAGCTGCAGCGAGATCACGCAGCCCCCAACACGGGGATCAGGCGAGGACAGAGGATGTAAACTCGGCAACCAGGCAGAGCTCTAGGACGGCAGGGAGTTGGGAGTGCTGGGGGCCTGCTCGTCGCTGGGGGTGGGGGTCTCCTCGCTGGGCTCCAGGCTGTCCTCGGGGCTCAGCGTGCTGTCGGAAGGGGGCGGGGTGTCGGGGGAGCTCTCCTGCTGTCCGTTAAGGGTGTCGGGCTCCGTGGGGGTGGGAGGAGGGGTGGTGGCCGTGGGGGGAGTGGGGACGAGAGGTGGCGTGGAGGCCGTGGGGGTGCCCGCCTGGGGGCCAGAGCCCTGTGCTGCTCCGCGCGGCATGGAGTTGAGAAGCTGAATGCCCATCCCATCAATCGCGCTCAGGCTCTCACTAGACACCAGAGAGGCCTTCTCGATAAGCCTCCACTGCATTATGCTCATGTCCTTCCCACCCGTGGAGATGAGGTGGTTGTCGTTATGCTGGAAGCTCACATTGGTCACATGACTGCTGTGGGCACTGTACTTGTGGCTTGGGGCCTGGAAACAGAGTGAAAGGCAACCACAGCGCGTCAGTCTCACCATCTTACAGCTCAGATACAATGAGCAGCTCACACACGGTTAGAAAGCTGAAGAGAATACAGCAGTCGCTGGCTTACACCACTGTCCCCCAGCACATCTCCCTGTCCTGGAACCATCTTTTACAAGGTCTAATTACAGCACGACAAGATGATATAGGAAGTCAATATTTTGCAAACAAATTGGTAGAAAATACTAATCAAACAGCAGGACATGTGAATTATTTTATACTGGCTTACAATGCTATTCATACTACAGAATATACATTTATAGATACTATATAATTTAGAAGAAGTAAATTCAAAGACTGGTTTAATTAAATTGCTTTCTTCCTTTAAAAACTTAACTGTGGTTGCTACTCAACAATTCCACCCATTTCTTTGGATGTTACTGCTGTCAAAGAATCCTTGGACTGCTCCGGAAGATTTATTTCCATGCACACAACAATAGATAAACAAGGCAGTTTTCAAGATAAAAAATACATGAGACGCAGAGTGGGGCAGTTTTAGGGTGCAGCAAACATGAACTAGCCCTGCTTCACCTTTGGTTTGGAGCATGGATACTGGAACAGGTGCACTTTGCAGAAGTCATCAGCCAGCGCAATCACCTTCCTGTTGTGAGACCGGACCAGAGCATTGATATCCGTGCCATCTGACCCTTCCGGCCATACTCCTACCAAGAGACAAGAAAGAGAAAGATTGCAGACACAGCTTGGAGTGGTCTTGGTGCACTTATTGACAAGTGTTACTGCTATCAGATTTATTGTCATGAAATTAAATACAATTTTCATGTAATTCTTCAAAATAACTTGGTACTTCTTCAAAGCCTCTGAAACATTACATATTATATAAATTCACATATGCTAATCCGATATGAAAGACGAATAAGTTTACTTTCAATATCTGCCTTTTTTTTACCAGCACACTAATGGAACATGATTTCGAATTATATCGTTAAAAATATTTTGTTCATTTGAGACAAAAATAAAAAGAATTTAATAATCATAAGAATCTATTGAGCTGAGCTCTCTTTCTGGGACAGAGTGCTGAAGTTTGATTTGTTTTCTTAAAACCTGGAGTTTTATTTCAAAACATTTCCTCAAAATACATGCAGTGTTGTTTTTTTCTCCAGCAGATGGAGTTATAGCTGTATGTCTGACAGCGTGAGTCAATAGTAAGCCAGCTTTAGAGAGAGGAGGTAGTTCATGTCTTTCCCCATTTATTCATTTGATTAAGGACTATCTTAGTCTCATCTGACCATAAAACATTGCTCCAAAAACTCTGCTAGCTCAGCTTTGTACTTTCAAACAATTCTGAAGCATGTTCATGGCCTGGGCATGCATGACTATCTCTAGAATGGACTCACCAATCTTTATTGATTATGTAACTAATAATCGCAGCCACAGAATTAATTCTGAAGTTTACAGTTATAATTTGTCTGCTTATGTAGAAGAAAATGATATACTGATTGAGCAGTGTTTCACCTTGAGGTATGACAATAACCAATAACTCAAAACATACAACACAATATAGCCAGTGCAACTGAAGTGCAGCTTCTACCTGGTAAGCACCTGACAGTCATTATGTGCCAGAAGCCTCACTACACTGCAGATCCAGCAGAGATGTGAGAAACTGCTTCACCAACTGAATTCATGGGAAATTTCTTAAGTCATAAGGCCCGAGTGGGCAATACTAGAGTATACTAGATATGGCCAGCAGCCATATCACCCTGAACTCACAACTGGCAACACACTGAAGCTAAGCAGGTGTGAGCCTGGTCAGTACCTGGATGGGAGACCTCCTGGGAAAAACTAATGTTGCTGCTGGAAGAGGTGTTAATGGGGTCCTAATGCCCCAGTATAGTGATGGGGACACTATACTATAAACAGGCACCGTCCTTCGGATGAGACGTAAAACCGAGGTCCTGACTCTCTGTGGTCATTAAAAATCTAAGGACGTTTCTCGATAAGAGTAGGGGTGTAACCCCGGCATCCTGGCCACATTTCCCATTGGCCCTTACCAATCATGGCCTCCTAATAATCCCCATCTATGAATTGGCTTCATTACTCTGCTCTCCTCCCCACTGAGAGCTGATGTGTGGTGAGCGTTCTGGCGCACTATGGCTGCCGTCGCATCATCCAGGTGGATGCTGCACATTGGTGGTGGTGGAGGGGAGTCCCCATTACCTGTAAAACGCTTTGAGTGGAGTGTCCAGAAAAGCTCTATATACTGTAAGTGCAAGCAATTATTATTATAATTATTAGAGAGGAATTGACCCAAGATAACAGTGCTAACACCCATGCACTTTTGAATCTTTCCATGGTATCTTTACAGAAAAAGCAGGCAGGAACTCAGTTTAACATTCCATTCAAAGAGTAGTCCTTCCTACAGCTCAGTGTCCCCTGCACAGCTTTTAGAAAATTAAAGTCCAGAGGTAAGAGAACCACCTACCACAGCAATGTGGTTTATTATTCACTTGTCTTAGTAATACTGAATACTGTATGTATTGGCAGAGGCAATTCTGCTTCAGGATGAAGAGAGGCTGGATTCAACAGTAGGAACCATGTTATTTAGTTCCAAGCAATGACCTTGACTCATTTGTAATATATACAGCAGACTGCGAAAAATATTAAGAAATATCTAAGATCTCTGAGTAGTGTCTTTTATTTACGAGCATCATTTATCCAAAATGTGCGCATTACTTCAAACAGCTGCTGTTACCTTCAGTAAAGCAATTAAAATAACATACATTCTCATCGCCTAATAATTTTAACAAGATAATCACATTTCTAACTAATTTGTACCAGGTGACTGAATATCACAAGTATTTTAATTTTGCTTTTTTTTTTCCTCCAGAACATTTCACAGTTTTTCTAGCATGGAAGCAGGTGCTTATTAAATTTCAGTCAGTAGGACACCTTACTTCACTGGGCAGGGAAGTGCTCAGGCTTGACAGTCTTCTCACTAGGATAGAGCCCTGGGGTGTCCACTGGTCCTAAGGCGCTTCCTAATATCTTCGGTCTGAACATTTCCTCTCTGTGCTATCAGTAGTGGGTGCTGTCTTTTACAAAGGGAACTGTTCCAGACAACACAGTAAAACATTTGTAGAGGGGCTCTCTCATGTCCCTGCCAGTAAAGGCCAAGGTTATCTTCAAGTGAAGGTTGAGCCCCAAAGACCAAAAATAATTATTCTGATGATACCAGGGAATAAATACTGGGTATATGGATGCGAAAGCAGTAATGTGCTCATCAATACTGGGGCGTTGCTGTCAAAAATCACTTTCAGAAGTGTCTTATTTGTCTGATTAACTGTCTAGAGGTGCACATTTTCATATTAAGCATCTTTACTGTTTCAGTCTCCCTGCTGACTGCTTCAGAATTATACATTAAGAATAGGTTTTCTGAAGCCTTTTCTTGGCCTAGTGTATGGAATCTGGCAGTTAAGAGTTAACTGTTTTTCCAGCCTCATAAAGCGATAAGTCAATCAGTCTGGTCCTATTTACTGGGATTTATTTTATTTCTTGTTTGAAAATAGTCATTCTCCAGTGTCAGACAAATACCTGATGACATGCTTTAGAGATTAAGGGTGAGGGAGAGGAAGAGGGAGGGAAAAAAACCAAAACATTTCCTTAGAGGATTTTATATCCCAGAGCTAGGGGCCTCAACACTGAAGCTAACCTCAGACTGACTGGCGCAACCAATTCCATCTGATGTACCAGCCAAGATATGTCTGAAAACCACAGTTCAATGTGTAAGAACCAGCACCAACAACAGAGAAAATCACCACCATTATCTGCCTACTCTCCTCTATCTGCACTCTGCCGAATGTGGTCATGTTGTATAGGTCAGCAGTTTGAATGGGAAAGAAAAACAGTGACGCTCTGAAGAAAAGGAACAAAGTAAAGAAAAAACAAAAGAAGTCAACAAAAGGAGAAGTGAAAGGGGAAAAAGCAATGGAACAAGTGAAGATCAAAAGAAAAACAATAAAGAGAAATCAAAGGCAAAGTGAAGAGAGCACAAAAAAAGCCTAAGAGCGAACGGTGATGCTCACCAAACACGTGGAAGCCCAGTACGCAGGTGTAGGTGGCCCAGTCAATGTCCTTGCACTCTGAGCGATTCCGGATCAGTTTGCAGCCACCTGGAATGTCCCCTGAGGGAGAAAAAGGCACAGGAGAACAGGAACGGGAGGTCAATTTGTTCTCAAGTGACCTAATTAGTTAAATTCTGAATGAGACAAAAAAAGGTTATTTCTAGATTTGTGGAACTCATCATTCAGACCTGTATTACATACTGTATGCCCTGGACTAATATGCACTGGACTCAAAATTCATGCATGAGGATAGATGAAGACCAATAAAATCATTACATGTAAGTTATTTACTGGTACGTAGGCCCAAAGAGAAAATAATATTTTCCTGAAACAAAGACATCTGGTTTACAACAAATCCTGGGGATGATGAAAAACCATGCCATTCCCTAAAGTACAGTATAAACTGTTAACCTACTCCCAAGCCAACAACTAGAGTCTACCACTGAGATGCACAGCAGGTGGCTCTTCAGCAGTAAGGTTTTAAAAATCTCTTATTTCCCACAGATTTCATCAGAGGGGTGAGAGGAGAGGGACTTTCATTCACAGGAAGAAAAATTACCATTTGTATGTTTTGCTCTTTTCACTTCTTATTACTATTTACACTTAAATCCTAACCACTGGAAAGGACGTTTAAGAAAAATGCATACAGACATCCTACACCATTCATTCATGAAGAAGGATGGAGGCAACATTCTCCTATAACATAACTTTATTAGCCCTATACAATTTCTTGCATTAGGAATTCGTCTTTTCGCATACCCCAGTTTGCTCTCTGTGAGACACACAGACATGGAGAGAAGCTGGGGGTCAGAGCGCAGAGTCAGCTATTGTACAGCGCCCCTGGAGCAGTTGGGGTTAAGGGCCTTGCTCAGGGGCCCAACTGAGTAGGATTCCTCTGCTGGCCACAGGATTTGAACCGGCAACCTTCCAGCCACAGGCGCAGATCCTTAGCCACAGAGCCACTCCTCCGCCTCTATTGCATGTACTGTCACTAATCAAAAAAAGAAATGCAGTGATGATGATATATGTGTTGAATAAATTATGTTTTGAATTTAAGTTTTTGAAGGCCCAGCAGACACAGTAAGGAACCTCTGTGATATTACATCAGCAAAATGTTTCAGGGTTAGAATGTAGATCTATCCCACTTAAGCGGAATCCAAACAGTCACAGAGTTTCAATTACTGATTCAGCTCAATAGGGAAGGGAGATTTTCTGATCCTGTTGGAAACGATCCAGTGCAGACCTGGAAAAGCTTTTGCCTTACCAGGAGACAATGTTGATTCAAGGAGTTGGAAAAACAAATAACACCGGAGAAAGGGGAGTGTGAAATGGCTTCAGGTACTAAGAGTGGGTGAGTGCTGCACCAGAGGTATTAAAGGCATGGCCATTACCTTATGCTGTCACCTATAAATTCATAATGAGAAGCATATAAACTACGTATCCCGTGCAGTTGGGCAAGACTATGAGCAGAGACCATGCCCATGTGTGTCAAATACAAACCTGACAGAGGATACAATATGCCAGAGCACACGCACTGAGGAGACAGCCAGCCCAGTAGCTTCTGAGCACTGCCACAGCTTGTAAGCAAGGCACAAAACACAGAACACTCCAGCCTCCCTTTGTGCTAAACATCCAGCCGATGGGCCTGGTTTCTTCAGCTGGATTTACTCACAGTAAAGGATTTCGTAGTCGCCCGAGTTGGACATGATGAACTTGTTATCGGGAGACCAGTCAAGATGTGTGATGTAGCTGGAATGTCCCTGGAGAGGAAGAAAAAAGAGAAATGTATCTTCTGTTGGTCTGTTACAACATCTGCAACAGTTAACTGATTAATATTATCTACTAAAAGGATGTATTGTAAGACCACGAGAATGTAGCAAGTAGACAGGCAAGTGAGAATAGTCCTGTGAACAAAAATGTATAGCTCCCCGCAACTTGTTCTTGAGCCAAAATCAAAGGGTTCACCCAAATGTGGTCAATTACACATGTTCTTTAGAAGTAAAATGTGTCTTAGCTGCTTTAATATGAATTACCGCTACCAGATTTTTACCTACGCAGACAAACATTTGCTAATGTATTTTTCGACCCTGCTCCCTCAGGTACATCTCACAGACTCTCGATCCTCACCCGGTGCAGGGTTAAGAAAGGGAATCAGTATGTGTATCTCTTGGCACTTCTTAATTTCCTTGGAGTCTGCCGGCTCCTGGCCAAAACATATACACACAAAAATGTCTGTGACCTCCTGCCAAGCCCTTATTAAATTTTGCCAGACATTTTGCAGCTGTTGGACATTCCTTGAGAAGCAAACAAAAAGCATTTGGCAAAAAGCTGTTTCAGTCTAACGCACATAAATACATAAAAGGTTACCATCACAGTTTTACACCTCACGAGCTGAATTTGAAGAATGCCTTCGCGGTTATTCTAATGGGTGGCAATTATCCTGGTGGTGGGGACCAAAGAACGGAATGCTTTTGAAAAACCTCACCATCTGACCCCTAAAACACTGTGCATGTCTATTTGTAAATATAATGCATCATGGAAATTCATCTATTTTATCCATATACATCTGATTCTAAATCCTTGAACTATAGATATCATTTAAAAAACAGAAAACCATAAGGTATACCTCATTCTTGTTTAGCTTTTGGCATTGCTACCCAATTAGCCAATAAAAAAAACAACAACTTCAGAGGCTCAATCAGTAAAGAGTCTCAATTTGCAAAGGATGAGTCCGGCCATCAGTCTGAGTCCATACTAGCCTCTCAAACAGTTACAGCCCAGGGTGTGATTATTCTTCAAATGCCTCTGGAGGTAGATGGGTTTGAGTTAGCTAGGGTATCGCTGACTTAGAGTTAGGCCTACCACTTACCAGTCACATCTGAGTTTGAAGTGCTGCCTGTAGGAGCTCTACGGTTCCTCTAAATGTTGCTTTCTGATCATCTACTTTGGGAGTCGCATAAAATGGTGAATAGCTCAACTGTGAGTGCTTGGGAGAAGGGTGAGCACTGTCCTCATTGCAGCATACAGGTTCAAGGTTTCTAACAGCAAGCTGGGCTAAAGTACAACTGGAGATTTAATCTTGAAAGGATGTAAAACCATTGTGATCTCTCATTTTAGATTAAATATGACAACTGAACCTACTGTACAGGAGCTATAAAGAAAATCTATAGACCGCTATTAGAAAAAGTACAGCCAGCATTCCCACAATTTTTCATAAAAGATGTTGTCTGAAAATATTAGCCATAATAAAAACTATTTATGTGTTTTATTGTTTCTCTTGCTGGCTTGTAAAACTATTTTTAATAGTCTAAACTGTCTTAGCTGCTTTTCAAATTACATTCTAAGATCTTCAATGACTGGAATCAGTAGTTAGACTAGATCAGCTGACCAGGTTCCTCATACAGTATACTGCAAGAAAACCCCTTTTCATTAAAAAAGACTTTTGAAACAGACGACAGAACAAATAAAAAAAAATCCTCTCTAAACCCAAGAGCCCAAACGTTTGCCATTCCTCAAGATAATATAACATAAAAAAGCCACAATTTCTCTTAATAATAGCCAAGCAGCATATTCAATGGAAAACTATTTTAACAATTTTCTGATTCAGACAATTTGAAAGCTTTTAGGCAGAGCCTTATCTCAGTTTTTATCTGACTTTGTTTTAATGCATTTTAATCTTAATGTTTTATACTTTTCAACTTTCTTCAATATCTGAGCACAAAGAAGTCTTTCTTTGACACACCAGAAAGGTGTTTTCCAAAATAAAATAATCTTTTGTAGAAAATGTGTGATAAAATCTATAACTACAGCAAATGTACCCTGAAAGAGATTGAAAACTATATATAACTATCTACATTTATTTAACTGTTTAATCCATCCATCCATCCATTTTCTAACCTCTTTATTCAAAACAAGGTTATGGGTGAGCTGGCAAGCAACTGGCACAGGGCAGGATACACCCTGGATGGGACACATCAAATACACACACACTTGCACAAGGTGCAATTTTCCCAGACGCCAATTAACCTACCAGTAAATCTTCAGACTGTGGGAAGATACCAGAGCATCAGGAGGAAAGCAATGCAAACATTGGGAGAACATGCAATTTCCTCACAGGATTCCCAGACAAGGAATGTTAACCACTGCACCACGGTTCTGCCCAACTGTATAACCATTTACATTCAATAAATGAAGTACCTGTATATATCATATGTAAGTGTACATTTCCTCAATTAGTACAAAAATTGTCACTGTTCTACCACAGTATAGAGGAAGCAGTTTGGTGACAATGCATCGAATGTTCTGCCTGGGGGACAGCAAGGTGGACAGTAGACCACTGCTCTGACATTGCCAGCACTGAACCTCATGTGAATGTCCAGAGACGAGAGGGCAATAACCACTCAGATTCAAGCGCCTTCATATTCATCCCAAAGTAAACCATGTTCCTTCCATTTCCCAGACAAATATACATCCTTCTACAGCACATACTGTACAGCCTGTACACACGGTTGAAGAATAACTTTAGCATTCATCAATATGCCAGATAGTTAACAATTTTCATTATTTAACAAAAGCCATTATTAAGGGATCAAGATTATATCCTTCTCTACAGACGGACAAGAGAATTACTTTACCACTCAGAGGTGTCATGGACTGTAAAGCTGTGTTCTACAAGCTCTTGACATAGAGTTTGTAGCAATGTGCCAAGAGAGAAAACTACATTTGGAGATTCCGGACTGTGAATCTATATCATAATGATGACCCAAAAGAGTGGTGCCCCATCACTCACAGTGCACTTTCCGTATCTGCTGTACTTCCGGCCTTTCTCCGAGACTGTATAGAGGTAAATGAAGTTGTCATGTGATCCCACTGCCAGCAGGGCTCCATCTGCAGAGGAAACAAACTGAGGTGAGGAAGTGTGATGTTATCAGAGCTAATTCCAATTCTTTTATAATACTGCTCTAATTTTAAATTCTGCAGGAACACTCTCCAGCTCTAACATGGCTGTGAACCGCAGGAACGCAAGAACACAGTAATTCACCTCACTTTGCAGATAAAATGAGGTGTTGATGTGTATAAGATATTTTTCATAGTTTTGAGACAACTTTGGAAGGGAATAGCAGCAAAAGGTTTGAGATACTTTGACCATTTATGCAGATATACAGCTGAAAAAGGCTTCACATGAGGGATTCAAGTATCAAGCCGATGTAATCCATCAGTACTCCCTGCTCTTATTTTACTACCTTTGGGCTACTCGGTTTTCATTAATAGCAGACAGTATTACGGTGTCTGCTGTGGACTGACAGAATTTCCAGTTTAATAAAGAAACCATGAAGTCTTAAACGTGGAACAATATATTGCCATCTTAACAGCTCCACTGCCAACAGATAACGCAAGACATCTGCTCCCGATTAATTAAACTGGCAATTATATCTGGAATCCTTTGGCAAGTTTGTTCCAAGGCAGGATTAAGAGGTCGAGCCATATTCCTGGGGTTTTGTTTTCTTAACAAGCATGAAATGTTACTGGCTGGGGCCGGAGCCAGGGCAGACCCAGTAACACCCATTGCTGTCTCCACATTTCACAGGGCCAGGCCCATCATTTTCAATCGGCTTCTCCATATTATGGGCAACTACTGCACCACAGATGAACTATGAAACACTGTTGTACAATTTACTGACATGTTAGTTAATATCACAGTCGTTATAGTCTCATTCCAGCTGACCGCATTGGAAGCCAGAGCGAAGAAAACAACACAATCTATTTTTTTATGCATGAAAAGAGACTGTTCTTTTTCTCCACAGTGTTACAGATGGGAAGAGTCCAAGAAATTGGAAAATTGTCTTTTACGAAAGCAAATAAGAACACTCTCCACTTCCCCATTAGGGTTAATGATGCCGCATGCTCCTTCAGTATTTCTGTAAAGTGTTGATTTAACAAGTGAGCAATAACATAAATTGTGTCAGAATAATCACTTCTGTAGTACAAGCTTGATATTCATTAGTGATAGTACTACAGACGTAAAAAAATCTCCCTTAGATTTATATTCTAAAAAGTATAGTGTGATAATGACTTCTGTTTTCATTGAAGTATCAAATTTTAACGGGTTTCTTTGAAAGACAAAGAGGGGCATGGGATGTGCATTAATGCCAAACGTCCATCAGATTTACAAAAAATTAACTGCTGCAGTACATTGTAGAGTACTTGAATAATAAAACTGTACTGTCATTGTATGGCACTTCATTGTAGCACAAGCACCTATGACATCACTAAAGCACTCTTCAACCATGAATAAAAGGATAACACTGCAAACACACAGAGGAAATTATTCCAGGCAACACCCACTTAATAAAATATATACACAATGCTCACTGAGGCCGCATGCAACTGCTTATGTGAAGTCAGTTGTACTCTATGTAAATTGGGCAATCTATTGTGTTAGGAGATAGTTGGCCAGTTGCTGAAGAAGAGCAGCTAACATTTGCATGTGATAACCCGCTGTGGGCCTATAAAGTAATTCTGTAACTGGTGTATTTTTCCAGATCATCTGCTGCTGGGCAGAGGTACTGGTTTAATATGGGCAAGAAAGATGCAATGATCAGCCTACCTACGGAGTAGCGCATAAGAGACAGCTGTTCGTTGCCATCAGTGTGGATCGCAACAAGGTCTCTGGACTCCGCATCCAGAACGTACCACCTGAAACATCAAGGGGGGGGGGGAGTTGTGCTGCTCAGTCCTGGTTTCAGAGGAATTCTACAAGTCCAAGACTCCTGGGGGTGTTACTCATGTCGTAAAAGTACTACCAAGCAACAGTACTTTAGCCTTTATACTCCTTTCTCAAAACTTTGTTTGATGTGATGTGTGGTTGATGTGAAAACACAAAGCCATGAACTAAGACATTAAATATCACAAAATTCTTCCAAATCTAAAAAAGTGAAAAATTCTAAACTTCTATTTTATTATTGGAATAAACATCTTAGCTCTGTATTAGAAAGATCAACTTTAAAACTCGAAAAGATCAGTCTGAAAATACAGTAGTAGAATCTATCACCTGAAAGTGACTACAGAAACTAAGATTGAACACATTTTACCGTGTGAGCTAGACTTCAAAACCTTGTTAAACTAAAGAAGGCACCTTTATGTATGGCTGCATCAGCTGTTTCCCACAATTGACTTTAAAGAGCCTGCAGTCTACTGATCTACTGACAGGAAGGCTGCACTGAAGTTTTGTGACCTTAAACTCAGATGACCAACTACTACAGTTGATCCAACACGTTTAAACAGCAAATAAAGAAATGCCACAAATACAATGGGAGGTTTAACACCAGTATCGGTGCAGTAGCAGGCCAGGCTGGGGAGTGAATGATATTCCAGACGTACTTTCCCGAGTGTGTTCCAATGGCCACAACGGCACCACTGGGGTGGAAATCTGCACAGTGTCCTGGTTCCTTTAGATAGGGAGAGGTAGAGAGCAACAAAGTGAGAGAAATCTTATTGGCAACAACCTTTGGGTTTTATATGTGTAACCCCTACACATCTACAGTCACTAATTAAGACATTATCATTGTCATCAATTATTGCACAAGATGAATGAAGGCCTGATGGTCATTAAAAGGTCATTAACCACCAATTCTGACAAAACATCAGTCACATTGGACTCTGAACGTTAACATGAACTTCAATAAGCTTCAAGTTTATTTAAACTTGAATTCACTGAAAAATAACCCCATTATATAATGCTGTTTAGTTTCAGAGCCTGAAAATAATAGTTACAGTATCTGTCATCTGTTATCAGCTGTGTGATCTGTTATTGTTGCAGTTACAGTTAGCAGTTATCTTTTATCTGCCAGCAGCTGTGGGAGGTCCTTACATCCAGAAGTCTGGTCCATTCAAGGGTGTGGTCCACAGAGTTCCAGAGGCAAACCTGCCGATCCTGGGCGCAGGACAGAAAGAGGTCTTTGAAAGGGTGTGATGCCAGCCCCCACAGCTCATCCGTATGGCCCTGCAGATGAGGGATTAGAGCAAAACATGTTATAAATCCAACCCAGCTATCATTGGAAAGATACACAATATATGCCTCTCAGGAGAATGTTGGGGATTAAAGGAACAATGATTTAAATATACATTTTTTTTATTTACCCAGTTTCAGTATTACCCAGAACAGATGTTTCATGAACATTAATTTACAACTGCCCTATAGAAGAGAGCTTAAAGACTTTTTTCTTCAATAAATCAATGTTTATCAGAATGCTGTACAGAAGCCATTTAATAATGCGGCAAGGCTAGCACTGAAAAATAACTTATTCTTGATCTGCATTAGACTATTACAGATGCATCTGTGAATCGCAGCATATTTTAAAGAAAACCTGGTCTTTCCTTCTGGCACACTACTTGAAAGGTAAGATCCAAACTACAGCTAGCATAGAGAAGGTGGGCACTGGCATATTAGATTGCAGCAAAGTTATTCAGAGTAAAGGCAGTACTGCCACAAGCACAAGGTATATACAGGGCAGTAAAAATAGATACTCCACACAGCTCAGACATACAGTACTTGAACAGGCCACCATCATTTAATTCCTTTAAAATGTGATTCCTCAATGAGCCTCTAACAGTATACACGAGAAAAGGCCAACTTGGCTACTGTTAGCTGGTAGGAGGAATTACAGTATGCTGGCATTTGTTTATTTCAACTTGAATACTCTGGAAAATTACCCCATTATACAACACCATTTCGTTTCATACCCTGAAAATCATCTGCATTTCTTTAGAAAATAAATTATACAGTACACGATCAACTAACCAATGAGAACACCAACAGTAGATACCTCTGGGATTGCCTTAAAGTTTTTGTGCTAACAGTTTTGTGATTAATAGGAAATTGCTTCCAACTTGTCCAAACTTTTAAATTGTACATTTTAAAAAGAAGCCAATTTTTAAATATTTTGGTGGAACAGTTTGTTGCAATCATTATTCTGCTCATGAACACTGCTCTGCCCTTCAGGTCTTTGCTCTTCCTGAAAAATTACCTCAATACTTATTTACAGGAAGGTTCACTGAAGAGCCTAATCGAAACATTTGTGTCATACAGTACATATACTTCATACCTTGGAATTGGATTTGTCACTGCTGTTCAATTTCATTAGAAACAACACAGGAGTAATTTCACATTTTACTAATGTCTTTAGCTTTTCACACCTCTGACTCTGAATCCCTCATGTATAAAGCTGTCCTTGAGAATCTTTTACTTAGAAACAGCCAGGAGGGCAATGACTGGTGATGACAGGTTGTTGAACTCACCTGCACCTCCACCTGGAAGCCATCATTAAATGTCCCTCTGAGAATAAAATTGCGTGACGTTCCCACCAGAAATTGTTCCCCCTTGCCTTCAGCCACTGCTCGAATGGTTCCGTATTGGTCAGGGACCTGCAGGGGCAGAAGAAAAGTGGTGACAGGAATCAAGTCACAAAACAACCTTGTCTGCAGAAAGGGAGATACACTGAAGAAGAGTGAAAAGAGAAAAGGGGAATTTGGATACATTCAAATCTGGTCATGTCACCAGATCATTTGGAAGACACAAATGAGTTGCAAGAACCCATAGCTCGTTGCTATAGTAAGGGATAATGGAGGTACTAGATGTGGATTACTGTATATTACTCTACTAGCAAAATGCCACAGGGTCCAAGGTACCCACCCCTGATCAAATGGTGGTGCTCTCCGTCAGACCTACCTCTATGTCTCTCTCAGGGTGTAGATCGTGATCCCAGAGGATGACTTTGTGGTCCTTGCCACCTCCTGTGAGCAGAGTGCCATTCCTCATCTGGCAAAGAGTGAAGACGCTGCCATCGTGGGCTTTAATTTGCCGGCTGATCTGATACACACCTGCCAGTCAAACACCAAGAAAGAAAAACAGACGCTTGACTTTTTCCAGAAAAGGGAAGCACGTGAAATGAAAAACCCACTGAGGGGAAATCAGGGCTTTGTTAGAATCTAACATTGAACACAGATTCCAGGAATTAAATACCATGCACACTTCATGTCATGTATTTTATGTTGGGAATTAAACCCAGATTGGGAGGGTTGTCTTATTTTTAAAGCAGCAGCAGCCTGACAGAACAGAACTCCTGCAGGCTGACAGCAGTACTGAGAGTACAAAGGGCTTTCAGCAGCAAAGAAAGCCATGGCAGTGGATCACTCTGATTGCATAGGCTCTGTCTAGTCTGTGCACTGCAGAAAACTGCACAATTCTTCACATCAACCAGAGGCCCAGACAGTGAGGCCACCACTCCATATTCTTAACTGAATGCAGAATCACAGTTGCAAAGCAATAATATGGCTGGTGTTTCCCTTCTACCCCCACCCTCCCAGATCTGCAATCACTCAGTACTTGGACTCCTATCACCCTTTAAAAGGGGAAGACAACAAACACATTCAGCTTCTATCAAAATCAGTGTGAACAGAGCCACTGTACCTCATATAAAAGAGGAAAGATATCCAAATACATTTGCTGCATTTGTTGTTCTTTGTATTTTTTGTTCTTCTCATCAAAAAGTGCACTAACCCTGGGACTATTTTAAATTAAGGCAGCCCTAATCCCCATCTCTGTTCAGCATTTCTGAAAACTATCCCCACAGTGCCTGAGCACTTGTTACACGTCATCTGTTCTCAACACAGAAGAGAGATTCCAGGAGGACAAGGAGCAAACGGCAGGGAATGGGCTCACTCTAGCCTCTACTGTAACAGAGCGCTGCAGCGACTTGAGGTTTTGCTTTTGCCTTTCTTTTGTTTCTGATCAGAGAAAAATAAAGAAAGGTTAGAAATCAGCTGTACTCCACGTGCATAATTAATCTCTACAAACCTGGAAGAGTGTAGGGTTACTTTAAACAAAGCTGGCACTGCTGTTCAATCCCTGAGAGACTGAAATGACAGGCTTCTAGCCAGGCTCAGGGTTCAGGGTGGGAGGGGGAGACTACTCAAACTAAACACTCAGCATCCTGTACAGGCAGGCTTGGATCTGCAGTATATTTTGTGGTGGAGCAATCCCAGCCCACCTGCACTGCTGAATATCTGCATTGACCGAATGGACACAGCCTGCTCTGGTAGGTTACAGGTAGGTTGTGACTATAGAGCCTTTACAGATTATGAGGGATGAATTGGAGGTTTTTAGCTAGCCCTGCATACTTCTTGTCCTTCCAGATAATCAAAATGTAAGATGACACACAGGTAATAAGGAGTCCTGACTATGGTCTTTCATAACCGCTAGCAAATATGCCTCTGGTGGGTTTTCCAGAGAGGAATCCACTGACTATTAATAATTTTGTTGGGTCTCCGGTTAGAAAACCAAACTGTCCCTCACCAGCAAGGGACAGAGATTTATCGTACAAATTAAATAAAAAAAATCCTAGAGCAAGATTCAGGAATACATATTTATGGCATTATTAAATCTGGATTGCCAAGTAACCATAGAAAAATCCCTTTTTCATTAGCATTTGCCGTCCTAGGAAAATGTCAATGATGGATAAAATGTCTCAGTTGCCGCTACGAAGAACTTGATTAAGAGAGGGCCATGCTACATCTGAATGCCTATATGCACTATAAAGTAGGGTGGTGCATGGTTTGGATGATCAATTTATTAAAGCTAACCTAAAGCAAAAAACAGCTATAAATATATAGTTGAATATCTGCGGGGAAACAAAAAAGTATATGTGGGTTTTGATGTTGGAAGCCCTTACTCTGAAGTTGGAATGCGCTTACTCAACAAATAAGCACTTAGATTGAATCATAAAATTAAAACAAATCTCTCTATATATAAAATTAATTTATATATTTGCTGGCAACGTACCCTGAACTGTAAATCTTGTTCTCCTACATGCCAAAGAAAACAATTACTTTCAAGATGAGTCTTTACCTCCAGGCTGAGAAGATTACAGTTTGCATTCCGCCAACGCAAAAATTTAGGCTTTATTGCACTTTAAAACAAAACACTCTCAATATCTCCCATGTTTGTGTTTATTGTAATTCTAGGGACTTTTCAAGTCAATGCTTTCTGACAAATTAGCAATTAGGCAAAATGAATCTCAGTGGTGTTATTTAGAGCATATTCTTCACTGTTTCCTCAAGTATCGCACACCTCACACTCAAGAAACAAATGACGATTTTAATTACAGTCATCAAGTTCTGCCCTAGTTATCTATCCAGATAACTACGTAAGATCCCGTTCTGAGCTGTAAGCGAAGGAAAGTGTTATCCCTTCCAGGGTTGCTTAAAGCAGTCTAGATAATTTTAATTAACCACTGAATTTATTACAGCCTGCACTAAGGATCAGACTGGGCAATTAAAATGATATAATAGAGTTCAAATTATAGCTTCCTCTTCATTTGGCTTTAGTATGATCTATTTTCATGTAGCCCATGTAATTCCTAAATTTGTTTTGCCAAATTGATAATTACAGTAATTTTTGTAATTAATTATTTGTTGTCTGGAAGAGACATGGTTGTTTTAGTTCCACTGTCTTTTTGCATTATCACCAGCTTCCACATTCCACCTATCATACTCTGTGCTACAGTGCTGTAAATGTGAGCAGCATTCAAGTTTAACTGGGACGGTTTGCTTCAGGTCACAAGATCCTATAAACTGGAAAACCAGGATAATGGAAAGATTGAAATATATAATGTTATTTTCTGTTTTAAGGAAGTGTGGTATACCCTTAGGTCCACAATGAAAATCAAATGAAAATCCCTGCTTACAAAGTGATTGTTAAATCACTATTGAAATCACTGGTGTGTTAAAAACCAGATTCTCCAATTATTACGCCAGTGATTCAAGGCTCCACTTCCTGGCAATTACAGCTGTGCCCACATGGGCAGATGGAAGACCAGCTGGAAGATCCACATGTCAGGTAGACATGTGTCATGCGCACCCTCTTGGCCCTAAAACTCAAATTTCAGCTGCAAGTGTAGGTGCGCCACTTGGGTGCCCCAGGATGACCATTTTCATTCCCACAGGAGTGGCGAAGTGAATCCCATCTGTTCACAAGAAGAAGACCCGCGAGAGTGGGGTGATAATTACAAAAGCCCTAGCCAAGCTTTACCCTGAAGCTATTCGTTATTAAATGTATTCTAACCAAGGCTGTTGACAAAGGTACTGAAATTAAAGATCCCTTCCTTAGCTGAGGATGCCCTGGATGGAGTGACCACAGACATATTTGTACAGATTTTTGAGTGTCACAGTATACTGTCCTATGGACACCACTAAGCTCATGGACTAACGTCCTTATCTGTTTTCGTTACCTTTAGGGCCTTTCCCCGGCGCAGGTTCCACCATGCTTCGGCTCCAGATCAGCATGATGCCCCCCGAGTCGCCTGTCAGGATGTCCCCGTTATTGAGAAAGGCCACGCATTGCACAAACTTGGGCTTCTCGTATTTCTGGCAAAGATGAAGAAGGAAATACAGGGGCTTGGAAATAACAAACTCACCAGAGCAACAGAGCCCAGCTATAACTAGCATAAGTTATCAAAAGCTATAAATGCTCTGCCACATTGCAAACATACGAATGAAAAAAAGGACATTCAGAACAGTGACAGTGATTTGTATTTGCTGCTGATGGAATGACTAAATATTTTGGTGCACTAGGGTAACCAAGACTCACACAATAACATATATGTATAAGTACGAAGTCTGGTCTGAGCTGCCACAGGTTTCCTCACCCCAAAGATGCCCTGCTTGCGTGCCAAGGAATTGCCGTTCCAGGTCCAGAAGAAGATGTGGGACTTCCCGCAGGTGACAATGGTGTTGGCATCTGTTGGGTGAAACTCCACTGCCAACACCACCTCGTTTGTGGTCTGAAGGGCCAAACAGGACAAGTCAGGTCAGGCAGGGCAAAATATTCCAACAACAGCATAATAGGAGAGACAAGAGATAATACAAACACACACTCAGACAGAACAAAGGAGCTGAGAAGGGGACATATTACTGTACATTCAGGCAAGGAGATAACAGAGACAGCAAGGGCCAGATATCCAACATGGACATACTGTAAGCAAACAGTGAGGCAGGTTAATAGATTATACACACCAAAGCAAGAGAGGTGCTGAATATACTGAAGCAGCTTTTTGCAGTGTTGCACACAGTAAAGCTTTGCATGCTAAAAACCAATACTTTCTGTGGAACAGGAATTGTGTTGGCTGGTTGTCTTACCTTGATTTCGGCTATCTTGGATTTCTTCTGCCAGTCCCAGACTGTCAGCATGTGCTCATTGGAATCATCAATCACACACAGGTGAGTTCCAGAGTCCTGAGGTGAAAGTACATGTCAGCAGGACGATTCTGCCAGGCCTAACCCTTGCGGCAAACCTTCAGGTCCTCTCTCATGCTTTTGCCAAAGAATATGGCCCTGCTGGCAAACTAAATGCTCAACTTTGATTGCCAGCACAACAGAACTGTTGAACCACACAGAAGAAGGCAGCACTCCAAGTTCATCCAGAATTTTGAACAATGAGCAAATAATGATCTTCAATGCATAGTATTTCTAGGAAAACAAAAACGGTATCATGTAGGATGTTAAATGCTAGAGGGGGTAGTTTTATAGATATAGGGTGTTTTTTTTTCACAATATCAACCTTGTACTGCATAGCAATCATTTAGATTTTGCACAAGTGCATTCATCTTCAGCTCCAAGAATTGTGAAAAACCAAGCCAATCACGCCAGTGATTACACTCACAACAGAAAGGGTGGGCTCCACAATGTGTTCATGAAGACCCCCAACTGCTTTGAAACCAAGGCTCTCATTACAGATATGGCACAGCATATTGCTGCACCAAATGCTTTCATAACTACTAGAATCCCCCTTTGACAGGTGGGCTGGAGGGCAGAAAGAAGAGAAGGCCAGTGGCCTTCATACAGTAGCTTGAACTTTACGATTATGGGAGCTGTGAACCGAACGGCTCCTTGTATATTTCAGCAGTATCTTCTCTCGGTGAGAGCTGACAGTCTTTTTTACACAAGCACATCTCTCAGCACATGCAGAGCAACAGATTCTTGGGTTTCAGCAAGTCTTGCAGAGAGCCACCTGATGGGCAGCTATCCTGAGCTCTATACAAAGGAATATGAGATTTTATACAGGCCAAGACTGGCACTGTCTCAGTCTTCCCTTTCCCCACTAACTTGCTCTACTCCTCCTTCTATACCTACCTGCTCCCACAACACTTCTGTAATGTTCTCCCTCATTGCTAATTGCTTCCCCGCATGCTCACATCCTTTTATTTCAGCTTATGTAGTCACTTTTATTGTTTTGATGAGGATTCTTCAGTTGCCAAAAGAAAGAACTGTGCTGAGTACCATGACTTCGAAATGCACCTCAGGACACCTTAGTGCCTGTGAGGCATTTAGTAATCATGAAACACGCTTAACTACAGGCAGAAGCAAGGGGCAACTCCAACAGACACTAGCCTCTTATTACTGTGTGGATACAGAAAAACAGCCTGAGTCTTTAGCAATGTAACGCACTGTAACAGACAATGAAAATTAGGACTAAGTTTAACTGACAAGTGAGTGACAGGTATTTCTGGTTTCAGGAATGAGTCACTGTTTTCAGTTCCACTTGAGCAGAAACAAATTCAAATGATTTCTAAGGAACAGTGGAAAAAAAAAGTTTCTAACGATATAGTGTTTTAACATTTCATTAGGAAACAGATTTTACCTAATTTTACCTAAATAAAAAAAAACTACTGTTCCACTTTTTTTCTATGCTCTCTCAACACTGTAAGCATTGGTTCGGTCTGGTTATTGCTGACATATAAACAGGTTCAACCTGATCCACAGGGTTAAGCTTTGAGCAGCTTGTAAGGCATCACCATACAGATGTGTGAGAAGACTAAAAATCCTAGGATTAGTTCCCTTAGTCTTGCCTGCCTGTACAGTACACAGATGAGGATTTCCCTGGGATAATGTGTTTCAGTTAGCATTGTAAAGCTTGTGATATGGATTTATTGGTCATCACTTTAACATGCTTCAGAACAGCTGTGTCAATATCTAAAATCTAACTACTGACACCCATATCCAAACAAACAGGCACTTCAATATCACAAGTCTGTTATTTGAGAGGGGCGTTGATTCAATTTTGATTCAACAAAAGACGTGTGTAAATCGTGTGTATCAAGGGGTATACAATTATAAAATTTGGCTATACTGACTCTGGATCAGTCTGCTTTTTGGTGAACAGTTGGAAAAAAAGAAGTGGCTGCCCAAGTACTGAAGAAGCAGAGGGATGAAGGAACTGTCGATCCTGTGACTTACGGCTTTGGAGAAGGCGAGGGAGCCCACCCCCCTCTCGAAGGTGCCCAGGCCAATGACCTGCAACGTGGACAGGCTGACCGAGTCCCAGACACGCACGTGAGGCTGCAGCGGCTGCAGAGGTGAAATCGGGCAGGAGGAGGACTCCCATTATTGGCACAGAACACACAACACCTGCTATTATTTTAGTGCATGAGAAGGCTCTTCGCGTGCAGCGCTCATAAATTTACTAAATCAGACTCGGTTAACCTCCGATCTATCTCCATTATGTACTTCATGGACTAGATTACACACTAAGGGCTGGAATAAATGAACATGTAGAATGATAAACAATGCACAAGCGTTGCTTCCACATGCAAGGCCATACTGCCCCTAAAGATGAAAAAAATGACCTTTTAGAATACTCAACAAATCTCCGGTAATAGACTGTAATAGTAATGTTAGGATAATCCAAGACGCCTTTATTAAGGAATCCCTTAATAATAAAGACAGGCTTGGCCATAAGTAGGGTGATTCATTTGAGTGTGCATTAGTAGCTGTTTATGTTTTACATCTATGCATCCATTTGTTAGTCCTTTGGTACTCCCATGCAAACATCAAACACATGTTGTAAATCTCCTATCTTTTTAATATGAAGGCTAACAACACTTTTGAGGATAAATGTTTCAGGTCAACTGGCTGATGAATAATATGGAGATGGTCCAACAACATATTGTAAGATAAGTCTAGCCTGGCTATCATTATGCTGCTGAATAAACACTCTTGGCCTCCAAGATATGCATGTGTAACGCACGTACTTTGTAGCTGGTGAATCAAGGGGATATGTAACAAACACTTTCACACTCTGAAATCTTCTAAGGTGAAGGTGTACACCTCTGATCATTGGGTTGAACACAAAGCATATTTTTGTTCTACTATTATCAAGTGTATGCATGGAATTATCCAAAATTAAACATGTATTATATTGTACTTGTCATTCACATTAATCTCATGACCACAAATACCAATTGCTTGATTTAAAAGAAAATATCAATTTTGAATTTGGAGGAATAATACTGGGACAGCTAACATACATTACACTGTATTATATAGCCACTCCTCTGTCACCCAAATCAATCTTCAAGCCCAGAAGCATATTATCAATTCTGTGCCAACCCATAGGTAAAACTGGTGATGTGTGGACTACAGTGCTCTTTTACTAGGTGAGCAAATCAGCTACAAAATCAGAGCAAACTATAGATTTTGGCCCACCTGCCTTATGGTGTCATTCATACAGTATAAAAGGACATTTAAGATGCAGAATGTCTCACCCTTCCATCTTTGTCAACCCCAGCAATCTGTCCTGTCGCAATTCTGATTTTGTCAGGGTGAACTGCAAGGCTGTGAGGAAAAAGGACAAAAAAAAAAACATTAACAAAGGATCCCCCAGTTCACTGCCTGGAAAACTAACTACTAAACTAACTACATTCTAGTTTACACACACAGGACTATACTAAACTATTGAACACTCAGAGCTATCAGCAAACTGCAATGCAGTTGTTCAACATGACACTGTGTTTTTGCTTATTCACCACAAACACACTGAAAAATGCCACAGAAAGCTGAGTGAGTGAACTAGATTATCTTGAGCTCACAGAAGCTTTACAACTGCATTGCAAAAAAAGTAGAGCTTTACTTGTTCAACGTTAGTCAACAACCTACGGTATGTCTTGTATCAAGGTCAGACAATTCTTACACTAGTAATCAATTCAAAATAACTTCCGGTGGGAACAGTTGCTGGTTGAATTGCAGTGTATGAAATTAAAGATTGAAAAAGGAAAAAAAGGTAGATTTTCAGCAAATTATTTTTATCTACCAATTTATGAGCTTTAGCAATTATTCTGAAACAATATTAACAATATTTAAGAAAGCAATCAACCCCAAGCAATTTGCATTTTTTCCAAGTTTTTTGCATTTGCATTTTAGTTCAAAACTTCATCTCCTCCGTAAAGCCTTATCTATTTTTACCCAGGAGAACCCAGGACACGTAACACAACACCACACAATTATTACAGGCCCAGAGCAGGCATATGCTATCCTGACGATGTGCAGCTTGGTACTCTATGTGTTGTTTCTTTACGCAACGTCAGTCTGCCCCTGAGTTTGGAAACCCACCATTTGACGCAGTCTGTGTGACCCAGGTAGTGCCGCTGTGTCCGTTCCTCATAATTGAACAGCACCACGACTGAAGCAATGAAATACACTATCTCCCCAGTGGGCAGAAGGTACACGTTGGCCCTGCAGTCCCGTCCTCGGTACCCATACCTGCACAGGAAGGTTAAAGAGCAGCAACTAGGAAGTTGTAGGCTGGAAGGAAAGATAGACTGAAGCTCAGGGAAGAGAGGTAGGACATTCTGGCAGGAGGAAGGGAGACAGGTAATAACTGAGTTAGAAAGCACAGGAGACAGAGACAGCCCTAGGTAAGGTTGAGAAGAAACGTCAAAGGGAATGAAGCAGGCATGAGGTAGGTCACCGGCAAAACGTGGCTTCATTCAAGGACAAGAATCTGGTCACAAGGGAAAGTAGCTCTTTGCGACGAGATTGCTGTCCTTGAATAAAAAGAGAAAAAAAAACAAACAGATGGGAAGGCAGAGAGACATGGAGGCTAAAGCGGGCAAGGTGAAAGGATACACCCATTCCAGCTTGAGTTTCTCGGGTGGCAGCTCTGTCCTGATGTCATCGTAGTTCTCCACGTCTGATGGAATGAACATTGTGATGGGCCGTCCCCGCATGAACATCTTGATGTAGTCTCCTTCTGTTGGGGGAGGGAGAATGGAGAAAACCTTAGTTGATGATGGAGAAGAACAGCTCAAGGGAAGGGATATGGAATCCCTCATAACCAAACCAGTCTTGGTGGGGGGATAGACTTTTATCCCTTCACTGTACAAAAGCAGATAACTTCCTATATCTGGTTAGATCATTAATTACATACTGTATAAACAGAGACAGATTCAGAATCAGAGTAATTACACCAGAGATGGGATCTTAACACCATAGAATATCGAAGAACATGGAGAATGTAGGTAATTCTAACGTAATTAAAGGTAAGGTAGTACTAAGGCTTAAACAAATTAGATTTATTCCTCTAATTAGAGGAAATATTTAAGTTGGAAAAATGTAATCCTAGAACATACAGTAGAGTCCTCCAGAAAAGCAATCTACACCTTTTCCCATCAGGCAGTAAACATTCTTCTTCTTTGTTTGGACTTAACAAAGGCAAAGTACCAGCCAATATTATCCTCTTAGCTTTCCTCCCCTGTAATTAGGCTAGGGTGTGTCGCACAGGGTTGCTGGCACAAATTCACACGCCTCATTCCCCCAGGCAAGATCATCAAGTCACACAACAGTTTTTTAATATCCGCTGTCGTTATTTGTTTTAATAATAATTAATTTTAACAAGAACATTAGTACATGAGGAGTTCAAGAACTGTGCAGCAGAAACCAGAGGGCACAAACAGAACAGGCGGCAAATCTTTTTCACTGTATTGTGAAAGTCAGGAACAAACCACACAGCCATGCTGCTGATACCTTTACTTCTTTTAGGAAAAAGGAAATGGATCATCTGATCAATTAGCTATTAGCAACCTACACAGACTGAATGGTATCCTCTTGTTTGTAATATGTAATATTCTTAAGGAGGAAGATAAACATTTCAAGAAATAAAACAGGTTATTTGTCATTTCTACTGGTTAGCTTTACTATGCTGAATTTTCATTTTAACAGACAGCTGAATCTACTTAGGCACTAAAGTTTGTGAAATACTTTAGTTTTTTTAACTAGTAATATCATGGATAGTTAGTAGAGAAAATCTACCATTCTTAATTTACAGAGTGAAAGTGAGAAATTGACACTTACATTTAGTGAAGAAACTGCAAAATAATATTCTTCTATGAAACTGCTTAAGAATCATGAAGTCTCAAGAAATATTTTTTAAAACTGCCTTAGTACATACATTTTTTTCTTTGCAGTAAAAGCATAATAATTTGTGCAACCAACATTGAGAATGAAGGGGACACTGATCTTCTTGAACGTGCAGATATGAGAGAGATTCTCTGCTTGATGCGGCAGTGTAGTTGTGAGTTATGTTATGAAATTATTCACATCGACATCAAGTACCCCACACTAACACATACACAAAAACAAAGTAAAACAAAACACAAAGAGCTCGTGCAAAACAGAGATAAAGCAAGATAGAATTTAAACTGAGTTACAAAATAAACAGGGTGAGTAGCAGAAGAACTTGAAATGTCAGGAAGGTACGGTTTCAATAACTGGGATCATTACAATTTATTTGACTTGTCTAACATCCAAACCCAACTGGCCACAGACTAAAAATTCTTCTCTTTCGTTGTTTACCAAAATGGGAACTGGAGTGAGAGGCACTTATCACACAGCTGTATATATCCAGACTCTTTTCATAATTAAATCAAAAGCCTTGATGATAGTCATATACATTATGACATATTATGTTAAGAACCTCAGATAGCTACCTTGCCTGTCTACCTAAAGGAACTTTATATTGTTTCTTTGCACTGTGTGTTAAAACACTGGAGAAGGGTAAATGAATCTCCAATGGATAGCAAAGAGGCCAAATTAATTATTTCATTTTATAAAGTGCTTTTCACTCTGCAGGATTCCAAAACTACACTGTATATAGGAGGGGCCTCACTGTATCCTTCACTAATGTGCAGAATTCACCTGGGGTTCTTACTATACAGCAGTAAAGATCACAATTAAACTGAGAGGAAAGGTTTAGACAAGAAAGAACCCAAATTGTACTGCAGTACATATTAAAATCCAGATCCTGATTACATGAATGGTAATTATCTGAATGGTCATTCCTATGGCACACTATGCCCTACTGCCATACTGGGGTTCTGGTTCTGAATTGCAGGTGCCTCCTACTGGTCCAATAACACTACTTCCAGCTGCACACTAACAGTCTAATTAAATGACTATACTTGTTACTGTATTTCTTACTTCACACTGAAATCACTATTTTGGACTACAGCATTTCCCCCTATAACAGTAAATATAGAAAAGAGATGGGGCCAGAGGACCCAGCAGAACATCTCTGGTCAGTCAGTGAAAGTTAAGCATTCAGCATTGTAATACAGTTAGTTTATTTTCAGCGCAGTGCAGGAACCCTTGATGCCCCAGCTGAAGTACCACAGTAGGAGCCCAGGCCCGACATGCAGTTTGTTGCAGGGTTCGAGATCAGAGAACGCATAGAGTTTCAAAGATCCCAAACAGACTACATTTATGATTAACCACTTGCCAGGGAAGTAAAAAAGCAGCCTCAAATACAGTATGATGGAAGTTGTGTACGGACTCCTGATTCTTGAGTTTTAGAGATAACAAGAACTCCACCCAAGTGACAGCCTGTTGCTTCTGTTAGTTTATTTTCAATTTTGATAAAAAAATCAAAAGGAACTGGGAGGCATTTTTATCTTTCTGTCGACAAATCTAATGTGGAAAATATAGCTTTTGTGGTGCAAAGGTCCTGTTCCCTGCTAACAGCTAATAGGATCACACTTTTCCATCTCTGGCCCTTATTTATACTGGCTCTCTGCGAGACGGAGGAGGGATGTTTTTCACAAGATTAAGAGCAATGATAGGCTACCCCAGAAGCACAGGACATTCCACTCAATCCTGTATAGAATATCGTCCCTGAAAATCTCACTGTGCTCCATTTGGAATACAGTGAGAAGGTACTGTATACAGAATCACAAAGTTCTTTTAGTGTGATGTAAGAAAAATATATAAAAAGTCAGCTGTAATGTTCCCTTCACACCTTTTATATTAAAGAGTAATCCAGCATGATTAGCACAACCGATTAGTACAATTAACACAAAAGTAAGCGCTTTGTAATGAATTTTTAATGTTTCAGATGATTTTTACAACAAGTATGTTTAGAGCCTTCAGAACTTAAAAAATCACCTAAACAATTGTTTTTGCAGGTTTTCAGATAACATTCATTTTTTTTCTGAAACACCGGGCTCATAATGTTAAGACTCTGAATGACATTTTCTGACGATAATAAGTGATAAGACTTGCAAATTCCTTATATACTCCAGCAAATTGGCAGTTCTATTTTTTAAGCTTTAGAGCACATTTTTGAAATGTTTGGGCTTGTGTGAGTGCGGTTTGGGGGTAGTTTAAAGCTGTGAGTCAGTAATGTAAGCGTCCAGATTCATCTCGGGGGAACACAGTGAGGGCCGGGTAATCTGGCCTGAATCCTTTTCTCTCTCTGTCGAGGCTGAAACATGAACCCTGCAACACCTTTACACTGTAAAGCTCAGCCCAGAGTGAAAGAGATGCAGCGCGAGAGAGAAAGAAAGTGACCGGCCGAGCAGCTAGAGGTCACTCCGCTGACAGTTCAGGGGGCTTACCTTGGCTGTTTCTCTCTCGGGTGGACATTTTTGCTGGTTACAAGACAGAAAGAAAATCACTCAAACAAAAACAGAGAACAAAAAAAAAAAACTACAAAACTAAAATAAGAGACAAAATACTGGTGGAGAATGTGGACTTAGTGGTGAAAGGGTTTTTTTAATGAAAGTGCTGAGAGTCTTAGTAAGCAGCCATCTGTATGAAATCACAGGTAGCTTCAGAAAATATAGATTCAATATAGTAAGACTATTAAGAAAAATTTAAGCTGAAACATTAATAAGACTCTCGAAACACTCAAAACAATCGGATTGATACAAAGGCTGGGGATTTCACTGGCTTAAAGAAAGCTCAACGAAAATGGTATCCTGTTCTTTCTGATTAATCAAAAACTCTTGGTCTTGCAGCAGAAGCCCGAGCCTGGCATGTGCACAGACCAGAATGGTCAGATTAATGACTTTTCCCTCAAGGAGAGGACGTCTGCCATTGCTCTCATCAAATATTAAGAATTTATGATAATATAAAAGCAAAAGTAAAATTGCCTGTACAATAAATTCCAATCCCAAATTTAAAAAGGGCAAAATAAAAATACAAAAAATAATTTCATGACAGTGACCAGAACACACACAATTCACTAACACTTCAGTGGTTTTAGTTTGTCTTACCTTGGCTGATAACTGGCTCTTTGTGCCTGGAGGGGACATGAAACAAACACAAAATGTAAAACCGTGGCACAGAAATATACTGAATATTTAACATAAATAAGGGCTTTGCCATAAATGACAAAGAAAAATGTAGGGAATGTCTGCATTCAAGGGTGGTGAATGAATTATGTCTAGAACAGGGGGACAGAGCAGAAAAGAGCGGGAAATGCAAGGGAGGAAGGGAAAGGGGTCCAGCAGGTTTTGTGCCTTGTAACCTCTTAGTAAGATCACACTTCAAGGTAGGAAAGGGTTAACTCTTTTTCACTGAGTGGACAAGACAGAGAGCTATTGAGAACTCTGCAGTCTGAAATCCCTTGCCTCTGTTGAGAAATTCTGCTGACAACTCCGTGCATTATCTGTGATTAGGATCTCTGGACTCCAGCCAAAGTTTAATCACTATACTGATGATTTACTGATTTCCTCCGTTTCAAAACAAAATGCTCATAGAGAACGTATTGCAGGACTTGTCAATCCACAACCCCAGTCCAGCCTGTTTCAGCTATGAGCAGACTAATTTGAAGAGATTAAGTGTTTTTTTTGGGAGAGCAAGCCCGAAATCTTTTTTTCTGTTTTATTGCTGCACTGGGCCTCACAGGTCTGAGAAATAGATTACATGCGTGTTGCTACTCCTATATCATGCTCGGTCTGTTAGAAAAAAAAATGCGTCAGAGCTGAGGAATACATTTTGGTCACTCAATTTACTGTTTTAAACTATGTGAAGCAAACAGACCATGGAAGCAAACTGGATCTTTTTAAGAATAGATTCTGCCATACTTTTTATGTACTCATAACCATTATTAGTTTTTGGCTAGCGAAACCCTCTTCAAGATTCTCCTCTCATAAAAGGCCCCCAATTAAAGCACAAAATGAATCTGAAGACTATAATGATTACAAACAACAATAATATAATTTACGAAACCCTAAAAACTGAAATGCAGATTAACTGGGATTTTAGTGTTGACAACGCAAATCCACATTGAGAGAATGTTGATTTTAAACCTAGTTGGGAGTGGGATATATGAAAAAGTTTTCCTTTGCTTCAGCAGACCCTCAGGGGTAACGGAAGTGAAAATTTCTCACATACAGAATAAGATGCAAATCCAGATTGTAGAGATTTACACTTAGGGATTATTCAAATGTCATATTGACAGGAATACAGTATATTAATTTAGTGTACAGGAATAAAAGCAAGCTCTGATTAAAGACGTGGCCTGCCATCTGTTCTATCCCTTTCTTAAGATGTCCAAACACATACTGGTTCTCAGTGTGTTCATCTGGGAATTACTGCCTGTTCCTATCAACAGCTGTCACTCTGGAAAGCTTTTACCAAAGGGCAATTCATCAGATGTTTAAATAAAAGCTTAATTTTTTAGCACACAGGAAAATTACTGCAGCCTAAGGGTTCTGAAATGTCAACATCTTAAGTACTTCAGAATCTGAAAAAAATAATAAGTATACATGACACAACCAAATACCCTTCAACTGTAAACAACATAAGTTTTAACGAGTCTGCAGCCCAGAATACAGCACACCTGGATCTCAGTTCTAGTCAGTCCTGGAGACAGGAAACAAGTTGTGACACGCCTTGACCACAATAAAAACAGGCATGTGTCCAGCTCATCAAACTGTCAACATAATTAAACTGTCACAGGCTGGGTGGGATGATGAAAGAGCATGCACATTTAACTCCAAAATCAAAGGACCAAACATGCTTCCAAATTGTAAAATCTTCCTTTGCCATTTTCTTAAAAGTTCTCTTATAAGTTGAAACAAATGTTGAAAACATTTCTGGAGCTCTATACAGTAACTGTACCCACATATGTTTCAGAGTGCATGGATGTGTCAGAAGTATAGGATTAGCACCACAGAGTTGGGGCCCTGGGTTCAATTCCAGACCTGGAGTACTATCTGTGTAGAGTTTGTATGGTCTACCTGTGTATGCTTAGGTTTCCTCTGGGTGCTCCGCTTTCCTCTCACAGTCCCGAGACATGCTGGTAGGTTAATTGGCTTGGTATAAATGTGTATGTGTTTGTGTGTCTGTGTGTTCCCTGCAATGGACTGGTGTCCCATCCAGGGTGTACCCTGCCTTGAGCTTGTTACTTGCAGAGATAGGCTCTGGCTCCCCCATGACACTGAATTGCAAAAAGTGGCTAGAAAATGGATGTATAAATATCTAAAATAGATCAATCTATTTATTTCTGATCTCAGCAAAAAGTTAATTTTCATGAAGGTCACCCGCATATTCCTTTAATAAAACCCGATCTCTTGTGACATGTGCGCATGAATGGACACCAAAATTTGCTAAAGATTGCATTTTTCTTGTCTTTCTTTTGACAATGTAGCGCAATTACAAAAATAATTAAGAAACATATTTTATATTAATAATTATACTTTGGTACGGGTCTTTGATTTCTCCCACCTTGATTGTAGATTTTTTCTTTTACAGAATTAAGTTAACTTTCACAGTCAACAACTAGTGAAAACACTAACCTTAAGGTCAGGGTAAAATTCAAAAAGAGAAGAAAATCTGTCCTTTTGTAAAGTTAATGGCTCTCATCCTCAGGGTTTCCCTTCAGAAAAGAACCTTAATCTCTTGAAGTTTTTCTTCAATAAATGCGAATAAATTAATGGGGTTCACTCACTTCTCCGCATTCTTCACCACTTTGGACAGCAGTTTGGAGGTGGAGGCAGCCTTCACCAGCTTATTGCGGCTGTCTTCTGACGTCTCCCAGGTGCTGCTCTGAGAACGCTCAATCCCAGGTGCCCTCTTCACACTGTGACCCCTGCTCGCGCATTGATGCCAGGGAGAAAGAGTAAGAGACAGACAAAGAGGACTCATCACTCTCCATTTCCACAGACACAGAGTGGAGAAGAAGTATCTCTTGGGACACAGAGAACCGGAAAGGGACTGAAAGAGAAAACTGGAGGCAGGACAGAGCTCGGGTTTTCTTTCTAGGGGAATGCCAAGGTTCTGCTACTTTACTGTTGTTAATGCCTGGACTTTTGTAATGTTATCTCCAGTTGAGAGTTCGGTGTTTCTCGATTCAGTTTAACAGAGGTCTCTATAGACACATGTTTAGATGTCTTAAAAGGCTTACTGCAGTTACTGCTCTTTGCCAGGCATTCCAGAGCAGCAAGAGTCAGGGCACTCCTCTCATCCAGACCCGATCCTGAACAAACCAGAGTTGAGTCACAGGACACGAGAGCCTTTCCGTTTACAAGCTCTGAACTGCGCAGGGACGAAATGGTTAAGATCGGAATCCCACAGAAGGGGAACCTCCATGCACACACTGGAGAGGGGGAAGCACATACCCCCCCCAGCCACAGGTTAGTCAACTGGGGCCACCAACGACACAGGCCCCCAGGCCTCAGAAGAACGCAGGCTGAAGCATCAAAGCATCAAAACGATGAAGAAACAGAGAATAAGTGAGAAAGAACCCTCATGCAGGCACTTCTCAAACAAGGCTCTGAAGAAGAGAGTTAATAGCAAGTAGAATGCACTGTGGTCTGGATCATTTCTCTTTTGTGGCCTCCTGACTTCACAGAACTTTACAGCAGTGGGCACATAAATAGCTAGGCTTCCGTAAACACAGTTGTTGTTACAGTGCATTAACTTTAATGCTAAATGCCTTATTTTTAAGATTAAAATAAAAATGCAATTCAGGCCTAAGTACTGCATTATACTGTAAGAACGTCATACTGTACATTAAGAAGCTTCACCAGGTCTCAATCCTGATGACACATTATGCTATTTTTTCATCTCTGACTCATCGGTCAAAGATTTGTAAATGAAATGTAAATGTAAATCTGCTTTACTGCTGTTAAAATTTGCAATGGAGAAAATTCAGTCTACCTTCATCACAGTTGATCAAACACTTACAGATACCTTGGTATTGCGATTTATTCCTTTTTGCATGCTATCACAGCAAAAAAAATAACATTTTGAAAAAGGTGGATGCAGATACCAACAGACTGGCACTTGCCCATTCATCTTCCAGCTTATATTTCCATAACAAAAATGAATGTGCCTCTTAGCTTGATTTTATCAGCTCTCTGATCACCCATTAGGATTTTGGGACAGACAGAACATTTTTTAAATTTATATAATACAGGAAGCAACTGCATTTTCAATTATCTGTTCTGGAGTGTGAAAGGTGCAAGTGGTACTTAGCTCTGCTAAATTTTAACTGTCTATTTCACGTTTGCTGTGTTTTTGGTTTTAAACTTCTTATCTTGGTTTCCACATGAGGAAAGTCGATACATACAGATAGCGCTGTAAGTTGAGTTTTGGTCTATGCTTAATAACAGTCTGTCATTTACTAAAGCAATTCAGAAAACCCCAGAAGACACCGCATTCTGATTTTCCTGCTTTCCATAATCTTAAACTCTTTACCGTCAATCTTCCATTTCCAAAACAAAGGCATACACATCCCCGCAGATTTCAGTATTTTTAATGAGGATAGTCTGTATGTATTAATTCTGGAACATATATATGTTAATATATGTCAACTCATTAATATGAGTTACCTTTCCTTTCTTAATATCCCTGTTCTGAAAAGCCTACCTGTGGTGTCTCCTGCGATCTCCACACCCAATACATAATCTGTTGGATTTTAGGAGGAAACCAATAGGATTGACTTACGCTTGTTTGTCTTTGAGAGGTCAACCTTTAGCAACAATTACTATCATGAAATAAGCATTTAAATATTACTGTTGGAAAATCATATAATCAAATTACGCTTAAATGTTTTCACAGAGAGAACATGGTCCATGTACATGTACAACTTGTCTGCAACTCCCTGTACTACAGTACCAAGGGCTACTATGTGCATGTGAAAAGAAAAAGAAACTAGTTTTTCTTCTCATATGCAGATCACTTTTCATAGCAAAGGATCCCACAGCTGTTCTGTATGAGAAGGTCCAATTTGCAAAAACAAAACCAAATTTACTGATATACTCTAAACACTCCGAACACACAGGAGCACAGACTTGTAATCAAATTTAAGTCTTGCCTGCATAAAGAGACTGTGGCAGTATGGAAAGACACTGGAAGGATGGCGCAGACAGGAATGGAAAGAACTGATCCAGACCACAGTGACCACAAAGCCAAAACAGGTTATTTCCAGCAAAGAAACTGTACTTCCAGGGTTCAGGCTGTAATGCTTCAGAATGGGGACTGGGAGAGTCAGTGGGAAGTGGCAGCTGGTTTAAAATGATGAATGAGATGAAAATATGAATAATTATTTGTGCTACTGAGAGTCCTGTGCAATGTGTGAAAGTGGCATAAAGATTTTTTTTTTCACTTTCCATCAGAGTAAGCATAAGAAAGAGCACTCTCATTGAAATACTCTCAGATGCTTACTCTTCAAAGACAAGCTTGTGATTGAAAGACAGAAGCAGACCCACCGTCCTGGTGCCGGGAGCTGAAATGATTACAGGCCGACACTGGCCCAGGTCTGCTCTGAGTGGTGGCAGTGTGAAGCCTAGTATTGAATACTGAGCGGGGATGATGTAATGGGCCTTTCTGGAACGCACTGTGGAATGAGGAGGTGATGTCAGCAATGCTGATGACTCGCTGCAGTTTTGCAATCCTGTGAACCTCATGCGAAGAGGGCAAGAGCACTTCAGTGACTGTAAAGACAGTGTGAGGTGTAGATGCTGGAGTGAAATGACTAAATAGCATATGCTGATGACAAGAGATGACAAGGCACTGTGTATCACATGGCACTGATGTGAAAAATTTGCTGGAAATGAAGCAGGAAAACTGATGCTTAACTATGGCTATGAACCTTATTCTGGATTTTAGCCATCGTAGTAATCATTATCTGACACATTTTTAGGAATTCTAAATAATCTGGCAAGTTCATCCTCTTAAGGCATTAGTGAAGATATAACAGGAGTGGTTCAGATTTATTCTAGAAGTGGCACAGTGGCATGGTGCTAACCGCTGCTTTCTCTTACTGCAGCTCTTGGGTTCTGGGATTAATCCTGATTTGGATGGCATATTGAATACACTGAGTATAGTTCGATGTGCCGGATCCCTGTCATGTTTGGCACATGTGACAGATAAATTAATAATCTGCCAACTAATATAGAGCAGCTCTGCCGAGGAATAAAAGTGCATTTTTTAATAATCCTAAAAAGCATTCGAAATGCTCAGAATTTCTAAATTGCTCACTAATGCTCACAGGTGGCTTGCAAAATGAATCCTACTGTGATAAAATAGGTACCAGAAATACCTTTAATGTCTCTCTACCAAGCAAAAACGCATGCATCTGTTTTCAATTAAAAATCATCTACATTGTGGATAACGTAGAATCGGTATTCACCCTGCTGGAATTCTTTCATGCTTTAGATTACCTTTAATGGTGTGCATGCTACTGTAAGTATTATGTGTGCATCTGCAAGGGAATTTATATCTGGCAACCGCAGCTGATGGGAGATGAAATCTGTGCAGTGCATGTGGAGCAATGGAGTTGTCGATCACCGCTTGATATTTTAATAATAGCCTAGTCAGAAAACTTTACTACCCAAACATGTTAATCAGGAGCTTCTTTCATCAGAACCTCCCACATGGGATTAGATGTCTCTTTGTGTGGAGTCATGCAGTCACTGTTTAAAACTGCATGAAAGCAGGAGGTTATGATGAGTAATGAATAAATGAATAAACTCATTGCAAGCTTCAAAATCACTCTGCCAGAGGGTGGTCATCACGGAGCTTCATTGGTTAGGATCTGCCTGTCATGACCTTCCTTTTGGTTTGCTTTTGTTAGAAATGAAGCCAATGGATCTGAAGCCTAAAGATCACAGAGTGAAGTGCATTCAATGGAGAATAGGGGGAGGCGGGTGGTGAAGGATCTCCTCCTGAAGCATTACAGCCCCTTTCCCCTTGACATGGGCTGGCACAGTCCTGAGAGCTTGAGGAACCTTTTGATGGGAGCCGAGCTCTTGTTTTCTTGGGTGTGCCTTTGCGTTTGGGAAGGATGGGGGGAAGAGGGGTGACTGGTTGGTGATGGCGCTTGGTTGGGCAGCGCAGGCTGGCCGCAGGGGCTGGCCGGTGCTTTCTCACTGGCCTGCGATTCCTCCTTCTCCTTTATGCCCTCCATCAGTGGCTTGTCCTTCTTTTTCTCTGTACCGCTGCAAAACAACAAGGTGTCAAACTGGGGTCCAGGACCCCTCCCTCCAAGTAAAAAAAAAGAAATAAGACCAAAGGCAGACACCTGTAGGGCCATCAAGAGCTGCTGAGAAACAGCAGACAACTTCCGAACCAACCTGTTTCAGAAGTTCCTGTTTCAGACGGGCTGGTTCCTGAGAGCTTCAGGAACCTTTGAATTGGAGGAGGATGGGGGAGGAAGAGGGCAGACTGGATGGTGACGTTGCTTGGTTGGACAGCACAGGCTGGCACACAATCAATCAATCAATCAACTCGATCGATTGATTGATCTATCCAATCTGGCAGTCCTAATTGTTCCCCATTTATTTTCGGATGCTGTGAACATTCCACAGATCCTACACCTACATTCAGGCTATGTTAATGACTACTCGAAAAATACCTACCTCTGATTCACAGAAATTCAGCTTTTGGAACCAGGTTCCAAGGGGAAAAAGATTACTTGACAGAATTCAAATCCTAAGGGTTAAAGTCTCTGTCTCTTTTACAGTTTGACATATCCTGTCATCTATTCTCCTCCCTAATTCACCTCCACCTCCTCTGCTACTTCAACTTTCAGCTTTAATGAATGCATTTGTGGTTTCTTTTCCTTACATTCAGATGCCATAAAGCACACAAGCGGACAATGAAATGGATTTAGAAATACAGCTTTCCAATCATCGCTTATGCAACATTTAAAAAAATAAGCTCCGTGTAAACAGCAGCTTCCAAGAGTCATTTATCAGAACAGATGACTCCACATTCTGAAAGCCAAATGTTTATTTTGTAGGAAGGCTTTACAAATGTTCAACTGTGCTGTAAAATCTGTAGAGGTTTGTTAGAGACAACCAATTGTGAAGATCCATCTTGCCAGTAATGGACCTGATAGCATGAAACTCTAAGAGGCGCACATGAGTAAAGTTGATTTAAAGGGGAAGGTGGTCACAAACAATTAAAAGCCAGAGTCCTGATTTTTCATGTCACTTCTTAAACCGTGTAGGCAAAAGAGTTTAAACACAATCAACTATTTGAGAATTTTGAGATTCATGAAAATTGTGAGAATTGTGCTATTTATTAAGGCCCAGTACTGTGCTTTTCATGTAATTTCCATTCCAATAAATGTGATATAAGGCAGCTGGTCCAGGCCACCTACAATGTGTGAAATTAATCTAAAACTTGGTGATATTCAACAGACCCTAAATGCACAACTGCAGAATTTTCGAGATATTGAGCACCAAACATATTACATTTCAGGTAAGTAACAAGAGAAGTTTTAGAATAGCCAAAGCTATTAAAGGAATTTTCAGCTGAAAGCTAGCAATTTTAACCCTTTCCTGTATTTTTTGCATTGTCTCAATATTCCAATGAATAAACACGAATCTGGAAAAACATGTGACATACTACATAAACATGTGACATACTACAGAAGAAAGGTTTCTGTAAAGTTTACATGTGTGGAAGAGTGCCACATCTTAAGCACTGTCACCAGATTTCCCTCAGAAAGTTCTGCCTGAAATGGTGGCAAAGTAACACATATACAGTATGTGATATAATTAAAACTAGTCTCTGTACTGTAAATTCATTAAAGTAAGTTTGGTCAAGTTCTAAATATCACAAAAAAATAAATCCAATGAAAAAAAAGAATAGTTACTAAAATTCAAAGCCTTCTAATCACTCTCCACTTGAGCGGTGAACAGATTCTCAAGTGTGGGAGGCAGAACAGGGTGCTGTGTGATGGCGTGGGACACTCAATGAACAGCCTGTACCTTTTAGCAGCGGAGGAGAGTGTTTCTTTCCTGGCCACGGACACAGAGGAGCTGTGACTGGGCTTGCGGCTGGAGGAGCTGCCATTGGCGATGCAGGACATGGAGAATGCCTCTCGGAGAGGGTTCTGACCTGTGGACAGAGAGAGACAACGAGTCAGAGAGAGTGAGGAACAACACCGGAATATGTATACAGGATATACATATGTTTTGAAAGTAAAAAGAAAATGTGAAAAAGTAATAACATAAAAGGCTTACAAATGAGAGATAGCCATTCGGGGCCAACTAGTGTGTATGATTGCTAGTAGCAAACAGCAAGCATAGCTGGTTAACAAGTTCAAGACTCCAACAGTCTTTTGTGTTACGTCTTAAGACTGAGAAGGAATGCCTCTTTCTCCATGTTCTTTAATACAGCTCCTCTTAGCTTCTATGTGTGCCTGCTGGTAGGGTTCCACTATTTCAACACGCTGTTGGGGTTAAGGAGCAATTTGAATAGAGAACAATACAAGACAGACATTGGACAAAGCTTTGTAGTGGGAGAATGGAAGGTGAGAGCAGCACGAGAAGAAAAAGGGTAGAAAACGAGCAAGATAGACTGCAGTCATGGTAAGAAGCATCGAGAAAGAGGAATGAGGTTTATTCAGAGCTTATCAAACAATCTGCAGCAGAACCCATGAAAAAAATAACACATGCCAAATAAATAAATGCAGCTGATCACTGAAAACAGTATAGCTGATTTTGCTAAATTATATTTATCTCCTCACTAAAAATGCAACAACAGTAATTCAGTATTTTGCAGCAGTAATTCTGCTTTCTTTTCTCCAGGCTCCTGTCTTTTATTTTCCGAAAGCATCACATTCTGCTATAATAAAATTGTCCTTTTTTTCCAGTAGTTACAGAAAAGAAAACTAGTTAAAAAAGCCATTTACTATCAACGAAAATGATTTAAACTGCCTTTGGTTTCCATTTTCATTTTTAATAATTAATACTGTTTATCATGAAAGGGTCATTGCTGCCAAATTTAACACATTCTGTGCTGAAAACGCATGTGTCTCCTTGTAGTATGTAACAAAAATCTACAATTCTGAGGGGATTATACTGCATGAGGGGGGAGAGAAGAACATGGAGGCAAAGGAGGACAAAGGGGGATTAATTGTAGCCTGAATCCACACTGCCGCCCCCTCAGACATTTTAATTGGATAAAAGAGAACAGATTAAAGGAACCTGGAGCAGGCACCAGAGGTAATTGATTTATAGTTCATTAGCAGAGGCAGCAAAGTGATGAGTACCAGTAAAAGCCGAGTCAAGCCAAATGCTTTTAATGTCCCTTTATAGCACCGTTCCATAATGTGAATATCAAATCAGTGTCTTGCTAGAGAAATAATATGAAGCTGTGGTAAAAAGCTAAAAGCATGGCCTTGGCTCCAGGACACATCCTTCCACTGGGCGTTGCTGCAATAATAAGCATTTCCTATAAGACCAAAATATCTGTGCAGATAAAACACTCACCGGGAAAATAAAATCATTCTGAAAGCATACCACAGAACTTTATTGTGAGCGAAGGAAGCAATCCATCACGCATGACCAAATTCACAGATCTGGGCAATCTTCAGCTGGAGGAGCTGGTGTCTCTAAACGCATGGGCCTGCTTCACAGCCCATTACACCCTGCCTCGAAAACACACCCAGGATAACCCTCCTCATTGCCCTTCATGTCTCACAGCATCCTCTTGCTTCTTGCTGGATCCTGCTGCTATCTATCCTACCCCAGCTATCAGAACACGGAGGGAAAGAGAGAAGGAGGATTTGCTGCAACAGCATCCGTCTCTGAAGAAATGCTTTGACACAATAAATAACCTTCTTATTTGGCATCTTCTTTGTGCATTAAGCCCCTTAGTGCTTCCAGCTGACACTGCCTGCTATGAGCCCGGCACAGACAGACTGCCCTCTTTGCTAGGCAGGCCCATGCAATGGCCCCCCGAAACCTGAGAGAAGTGAAATGACCTAGTTATTACTGCTGGTGCTAAAGCATGGCCTCCGTGAAGCCTCTTCCCCATGCTGGATTTACCAGGCTGCCTGATGCTACTATATCCCCCTCCCCTCAGAAGTGGGATCAGGCGGACTGAGAGACATATGATTTTCAAAAACAAGAATGCCTGGGTCATCCAAGCAGACCAAGTAGGGATATCCACTATGAGGTACTGAGCAGAAGGAGAGAGCAGTCTTGGAAACTTCCAAAAACATATGAATAAAAGTTGAGCACGCTGTATAAATGGCAATTAACTAAATTAAGAAAATGGCACTAAACTGTTTTTTTTGCACTAGAGAACAAAAGCTGCTGAAGATTTCTGATGTTCTCAGGCGAGGCCTGTTAACAGACACACAGACTCTCTCAGGGAGAGGGCTGTTATGCGTTGGTCTTCATTCATTTCTGACAATCCTACACCACACAGGGAAAAAAAAACATCTGGAAATCAGGGGTATAAGCCATTTGAAATGAACAAAAACAACAGAATAAAAAAAAGAAAATACCTAAGTCTCATATAACACCAGTAAAACAAATTGAAAAAATACAGACATGACTCACAAACCCTTTGAAGGTTGACTATCCAAAATTAATGCCTGACCCGGCCTTCCTCCTCATATCCCATGATGCTTGTGCAGAAGTAGCCTGTGTTCTATATGTATATAATCCAGGTGAAACAATTAAGCCACCAAACAACCAGACTGAACTGGATAAAATAATTACAGGTCTGTGCTTCCCCCGAGTGCTGCAAAACACAGCCCCCTGTGATGGGAATGGGGAGGCAGTGTTGAGGACCGTGGAGGAATTTCTGCAGTGCACCTCCTGTTCCAACACGCTGAAGGAGAACTCTAGCCTGGGTAACCCGGCACACGTTAATCCCCTCTCCTGAAAACCACTCTCAACCACCGCTCTGTGCCTGCTGCCACACTGGTCAACTTATCCACTATTACCGTGACAAAATGTACCCCTGCCTCCCCAGTCCCAATCATAAGACTGGCTGTTTCTCTGGATCATGAGGTTCACGTGGGTTGCTCAAATTGCTGAAGAAACATCACCCGTAGTAAACTGATCCTGACCTCTTTTCAGCCTGAACCTCTCACTAATGCTTGTCTGAATGCTGGCTCCAGCTGTTCACAATTAAGAGAATGGTGTGCACCCATGCCAGTGGGATAAGGAAACCTGAAATCTTGAAAATCCTGTGCCTTCCAATTTTAAATGTTTTTGGTCTTTTTAATTATTGTTAAATGAAGTCAGGTGTGGTGTTCTTACAGAATACCTGAGAATACTAGTTTCTCCCCCTGAGACATAATTTAATTCATAGACAGGTTAAAGGCAAAGAACAGATGTATAGTGTACAAACATTTATTGATGCCAACATTTTTATATTTTAGGCAGATAATTTAGATATAATGCAATGTTGATTTGCCAATGACATTTCGTAAGGTCAGAATGTAATCCAGATGTATTCATACCCTGTTGAAATTGGAACAAAAATTAACATATAACAAAAACATGTATTTGACTGAATTATGTTTTTGCTTGAAAAAAACTAAATATACTGTAATTTTTATAGCTTTTACACAGAGCAAAGCCATATCTGTCACAAATTAAGTCCAGTAAACACAAAAACAAATGTATTTATACAGTGTAGTTAGTGTTTTGTAAATCACCCCTGACACAGATTGTACTAAACTTGAGACATCTCCTGTGGTGAGGTTCTGATGAGGTTCTGGCACTTGTGAGTGAGGAATTCTGATCATTCCACCAGGCCGAATCACTCTGGGTCATTCAAACTGTTTGGTTTTGATGGGTGAATAGCTTTTCTTGAGTATGAACCACAAATGTTCATTTGGATTAAGGTCTGGAGATCAAGATGGCCAGTTGAGAACATTAATTTTGTGTGCAGTTAGCCACAGTTGTGTCAACTTGGACGTATGCTTCAGATCATTGTCATGCTGGAATGCCCATTTTCAGCCAAGCTTGAGCTTCTTGGCAGTCAAAACCAGGTTGTTGGCCAAAATGTCCTGGTACATGCTGGAGTTCATGATCCCCCACTATCTTAACAAGTCCCCTAGGACCCATACAAAATATACAAAACAAACACAAAACATCACAGACATATGTTGTGATATATATTATTCTATTACTTGTCATATTCGTAAAAAAAGGTTTCTTCCTTGCAACATGACCATTTATGGAGGACACATTGAATGGCAGTTTTTCATACTTTGCATTCGGAAGAGGCCAGTTTGTGTTGGAGATATCCAACTGCTGCATTTGGATTAACTGTTATAACCTTAACCTTGTTTCATTGGTTGTTGGACCTTAAATAAGATAATGCATGCTACTGCTGATTATCTTTTGTTATTCACCATCTTGAGGCTTTCATTACACTTCACAGTACATTTCTAGAATTGTTTTAAACAAAACATTATCCAATCCATAACTTCATTCTATGAGTTTTTTATTATATTCATCAAGGGTCTTCATAAATCTTGAGGGAATGATTTTATCCACATTTTTTATTATTTCTTTCATTCAGATGTTACTTAATTAAGATAATTTTGTTACGTGAACTAACTAGAAAGGAGTATCCCCCTCTCTTTTATGGCTTTGGAAGTTCATGGCTTTGGGGGAAAAAGGGACTGGAGTAAAAATCTTCGACAGATGTTTTTGTCAGTGTGCACAGACCTTTGAAACAGTTCTGGAACTACAGTTCAGGTTTCACACAGCACCTCTTGAAATAAGCATTACTGAACTTTCAGTCTTCATGCTCCATTAACAGACAGCACAAACAATCAAGAGAAGAACCCTCCTTTCATCTGCTCCACTTGATAATCTGTAAACAGAGTCTGGCAGCGAGTCCTGCTGAAACCCAGCATGCTGTTGACCATTTACAATGAGGTATCTGTCAACCTCTATAGCGCTGGCAGTTTAGCAAACAGGAAAGCCTGAGGCCCATGGTGTGAGCTTCAGATGCTTGCCAGTGATGTCCTACAAAGGGGCTGAAGGCCAGCCAACTGCCTAAGCAACAGAGAACAGGCGCCCCACTACACTACAGGACAGGAAGAAGGCGCCTTCAACGAAAACATTCTCAATCAACTGAAGGCCAGGAATCCTCCTGTGAACCAGATCTTGAGTTTTACACGAGTAATTATGCGAGTGACCACAGTACTGCCCACTGAGTCATGGTGTCTGGAATCTTTGAACTACTAACCACGACAAGGCTGAGGGAGCCTTTCAGCGGGCACTGTTGAATAACACCCAGCTTTGTGATAAAGCCACCTGATGGATTACGTTACTCAAGATTAAAACGGCAATGACAGAATTAGCTCAGAGTGATGTCATTAATGAGATAGAAAGACAGATAAAACTGTGAGTGTGACCTGCTTGGGGCTAGCTCAAAGGGTACACTGTAACAAAATCACCTGTTTGTATTAATTATACAAGAATAGTAAAACACTGACGATATTTTATATCAACCTTTAGAAGAATAATGACTTTTAATTAACATCAATAACTGTACTAATTTCAGTTAATGAGTCTGTACTGTAATGTTTGCTTTATAAACCGTATGTCAAAAAACAAAATATCTTGTACCCTCACTATTTTGCATAATTAACTGAAAGGGAGATGGCTATCACACAATCATTTATTTTTCAAGGGGTTGTGTAACAGCACAATGGGACAGAGAAGCAGAAAACATGCTGTTGCATGATGCAGACTCCTGCCAAAAACATCCGACTGCTGTCAAAGACAAGCCCACTGTAACAAAACTCTCCAACAAAGAACCTCTCAGATTTCCTGGCCTGTGTCTTGTGGTGCCTGTCAAGTACAGAGCCAGCCCAGTGAGGTGAGAAAGACAGAGCGAAGACCTATTGTTGGGTGCATGACAATGTGGGCTAGCATCCAGAGGGAAGCTGCATGACAACTGGCTTAATAAGCCAGTGATGGAGGAGCCCTTTTTACCAATACAGCCCAATCAGTGGCCTGTGTTGAATGGAGGTATTCACCCCAGACTTGGCAGGGCAGTTCCCTCTGCTGTTTATGCTTTTTAACCATTTTGTGTCTCTAACAGATACATGAAAGTACTGTGTGGAAGACAGTGTAAGGAAAGGTGGAGAAATGGCTCCACTGCAGCTGAACCATGTAAAAACCCAGCTTGATTTACTCTTGACACCAAGGAAGAAGAGCTAATGTAAATGGACAGCATCAACTATGAACAATTTAATGCTATCCCCACGGACATGATAGAACAAAGTAACTGGAATAATAGTTGCAAACATTTAAAAAATATTTTATACATCTGGGATTCTTAGGCTTTCCCTAGCCCTGGACTGCACAAGTCTTAATGTTTATCAAACTACTTCTTCAAAAGGTGTACAGTTTAGTTCCCACTTTAATGCTGATTGTATATAATATGATAACTGAGGTGATTTGTTTAGTGTAAAATATTAGTATTTGTATTGCAATGTCAGAGTTGATGAGGGTAGAGACTATACATATTCTTTTGAGAGTTTAATGTGCTGCACTAAAATTAAATGTACTAAAATCTGTCCTGTACTGGCCCTGCACTATAAAATTTCAGGCAGCCAACTCTACAGTAGCTTCTTTTACAGTAGAGTAGAAGAAACTCCAATCTCTGAGTGATGGTTAAGGAAAGAAAAGAACTTCAAGTTACAACCCTACTGTATAATGGGCCCTCCTGCTCATTGCATTTGAAACTTTAAAAAGTATGTTTGACTTGGCAAATAAAAAATTATCTTTTTATTCTTAGAAAAGTACGGAAACGTTAGAGGGTATTACAACAACTCTTTCTGCTGTGACAGTGTTACAATGTAAGCTAGAATAGGTTAACTGATCAAGCATTCTTGCCCTAATCTCTTTGATCCTGACTGCATCTGATGATGATAATTGTCACTCGTGAATTTATTTTAAAACTTCAAACATAAATTAAAAGCCTTCAAACACAGGTAGTTCTGCTATGCCTTGAAATGGAAAAAAATCAATAAAATAAAAAATAGAAATGCTCTTAACTTAAAACCAACCAAAAAAATGTTAAACAATTCCAGAGATTCTCTGCTATTTGTTTCCAGTTTGAACCCTAGAAGAGTGCTGGCATGTTCAGTATGGTGTTAATGACAATTTAAAGCAAACGGCTTTGACTATTTCCACAACTATTACAACCATTTAGCATAACCAAAAACAGGTAAAGCTCTTCAGCAAATGGAAAAATTTAATACCAGGAGTCAAGGCTGGATTGCAAAATTGTTCACAGACCCTACATTTTGAAAGAGTCTCCATGTCTGGAGTGTGAACAGCAGCATTGTGACGACAAGTAGGCATTATATTTATACTGACCCTGAAACTAGGCCACAGGAGAGAACACATCACATCTTTTTCATTGCCTGTGCTTTAACTGTGTATTTATAGTTCCACTACAAGTTCTACTAAACAACCCATAGCAAATACACTGTGCGAAAAAAGTTTCATGCTTTTATAGTAGCCCCATAGTCTTGAAATACTGTACTTAAGTGTAGCATCTTGTGCACAGATGTGTGTAACTAAAACCTTAAAACCATTGACAGAGAAACCACATATAGTGTCAAATATATTTGGAATTTTTTAAAGAATTAAATGTACTTTAAGTAAAGAAAAAAGGTTTAAAGTAAAATAAGTAAAATACTAAAATGCTAAGTAAAATACTAAACTTAAACAACTGCCACTATTAAAGTGCTGCACCTACTGTACAGAACCTAAGTGATCTGCTGCAGCCATTCTACGGATGCAGACCAGGTCGACAGGTGAGAAATTACTTCCTTCTTTAGGGAAGCTGAGATTGTGCAAGTCCAATTAATAATCTGAACGTCTGAACATTCAATATCTCATAACCTGCTTTTCATGTTATAGGCTGATATCATAAAAAATTAGCTCTTGCCTAGGAGGACCTACAGTACTACAGCAGAAGTCTCTTATTATTCTCTCTAAAGCTAATATGGAAAAAATATGCTGCTCCATTTCAGAGGATGTATTCACCTCAGTCTTACACAGCCACAGGCACACTGCTGTTACTGGTAGCTCCTGCTAATGTGCCATGGCTCAATACTGCAGAGGCTGCAGGCCAGACGAGCATGAACAGGGTCAGGTTTTTATGTGCCCTTTCTGATTACGCCTTGGTCCAGCTCCTACTCTAAACAAGCAATTCCAGGTTTACGCTGTTATTTCACGTGGTATCCAAGCCCTGTGCGCAAGCTGCACAGCAGTAATAAAATGTAAAAAAAAAACAGCACTGACTCAGTACTGTGGAAAAAAGGTAGCTTACTCTGCCTCATCAGCATCAGTCTCAGTCAGACAAAGACACAGTGGTACACTACTGTCAGCTCTCCACAGAGTACTGGGAGTTGAAGACTTCATTAAGACTCCCCTCAGATGTTCAACGGAGCCTGATTGAGTTCTGGTTTGTTAACATCTTGTTAAATATTTGCCTGCTGCAATCAGGTCTCAGTTCAGCTGATGTTCACAAACACATCTGAGCCTGTCAGGGAGACAGGGTGCAGGAAGTTAACCAGAAAAGGCAACATCTGTTGCTTTGACCATTTAGAAGAAATAGGCCACTCCTTTATTGACCCGGATTTTTCACAAATTAATTGTAAATTAAGTTGTTACTTTAGAAAAGGGCGGGGGCTGAAAAATTTCAAAATAAATCATGCTAAAAAAGTGTTTTTGAACAACCACTGTTTGACGATTTTCAAACTAAGGTCTACGATTCATGGATTTATAATCCATTACATAATGACTCTTCAAATCTGTGCAGAGCATAAAGCTATTTCCCAACACAATTCCATTAAACTCCATTCATAGACAACCCACCACCTTGTCTATGAATACAAAGAGGAACAATGCTTCCTACTCTAATTGAAAGGCTATGACCAGAGCTGAAACAGTCCCATTTTAGAGGAGCATCACAGACCAGACATACATTACTCACACTGACCCTCAGCGTTCCCTTCACAGCATGTTCAGGCCTAGAAACAAGCTGCAGTGAGATGGCAGAATACAGTGAAGATAAACACAGATTGGACAAGGAAAACCTTCCTTGCCAACATTTTCATTTCTTTGGTACAATTAAATTTATACAATTTACAATTTATTGAGTGAAAACTCAAAATGTAGTGTTCAGATTACTGCATGCGGTGCTCACAAGTCTTAAAACACCTGCTTTCCGATTTATTGGGTAATAGGTTTGGATGGACTCACTGTCTTTTAACGGTTTTTCAGAGGTTTTACAGTATGTGCCTTTACTCTACTCAGAAATAATACAGTGCTGCTGCTGTAATTGTGTCCGCAGTGAAAAGGTAACGGGGGGAGGGGACTTTCAGGACTGTGAATGGAAGAACCATGGTAGAAAGCAAGTACATTTTTCATGGTATACAGTACCTACAGGCTGTCTGTATTTAACAATGTAAACTTCAGGGAGCTTCTTTGCACAAAAGTTTGTGGTTGTCTGAAACAAGCTTCCTTGCCACGTTCCTGAAGGTAGTTACCTGGATCCTTCAAGAACATGTGTCCCATTCATCGTTCTTCTACTACAGAAGCACCCAAATGACTAAAGTGGACACAAAGCCTTCTCTTTGTTTGACACTCTGTGCTGTGCTACTCAGAATGCCTGAGAAGCCGCTGTGTGAAGGTACCTTTGCTGGGCGGCAGTTTCCTCATGGCGGCAGCCGTGTCCTCAGACAGAGCGAGGCGCCGCAGGACGTCGGCCAGAGCCGCCTTCAGCACCGTGATCTCATCTTCCTGCTGCTGCACGCGCAGCTCCAGCGAGGACAGCCGATCCTGCACGTCAGAGGCACTGGCACCTGAGATACTGTCATCTGCAGGGGAGAAGGAGAAAGAGGGTACAAAGTACAGTGACACAGGCATGTGCAATAGGCAGGGAGAGAAAAGGGCGCTCAGTCGGCTGAATTTTACTTTCGTAATGGTGTTTCTAAACTACAAAAAAAAAGGCATTTTAGAAAGTACAGAAGACCGTTCCATGATGCACTATTGCTGCCCCAGTTAATTTCTTATGGGGCATGTCTGGCACTGGAAAATATTAAGGAGATGGCCCGTGTACATTTTAGTGGGCCACCACAGAGCCCCATCTTCACTTTTAGTTACTGTTTGTGTGGCCACAGCTCTAGAGTACACTGGTGAGAAATAGTAATGCATCATTAAGCACTCTTTGACCTTTCCTAATTACACAAACACTGAGTCAGTGTACAATCCGTGAGGCACTTGAAAATGGTTCTAACCATACTGAAAACCACCACGTGAAAGAATCCACAGGCCAACAAAGAAATAGATTTCAAAGGCAAATTTCCTTTCTGTGTGCACACCACACCTTTTTAACTTAAAAAAAAATTAAAATATTTTTTTTTTAAATCAGTAACAGAGCCACACTGGTATTATATGTGTATAGAACTGTTTAGTTTGCATAAAAGAGAAAATTGTCATGTTGTGGAAGTTTGTGTGTTTTCTTTTATTTGTATGAGAGAGGTTAAAGAGAAAAAAGTTTTGGTTTACCAATCATGTTACTTAGCTGTGAAAAGAGTAATGCTGTCATTTAAGAGACAAGCCAAACATCACACTAATGTACTTACTGTATGGCCAAACGTTTATATAACTGTTCAGAGCATCAAGTTCACCAACAGAGTTAAGCAACGGAACAAGTTATAGGTTTATTCCATGCTGAAAAGAGTGAAAAAGTGTCACACCCGAATAAGGCTCCACAGCTGAAACGTTGTGTTTTCTTTCTTCTCTTTTCAGCATGGAATAAACCTATTATTTGTTCCTTTGCAGCCTTTGCATGCTGACGCAGCTCCCCACCTGAACTACTGTACATTGTTAAGCAACTGTTCTTCTTACAGAACAAACGGAATACGGTAATAACAGAAAGTATTACAAGTCAAACTAAGGACATTATGTCCAGTGAACAATTTCCTTATTGTAACCTCAGCTTTCCGAAAGCAATGAATTAAATCAAAATGATTTTAAAATTATTTTAAGGAATAACCTGCGCACAGAAGGTAAAAATGTGAATGTTTTTCTTCTCTAAATGAAAAGCCACACACTTTCACTATATATTAATTTTTGGGAAAAAGCAGAGCATAATGGTGGAATAAGTGTTGGAAACCAGAAAAATTGCTGTGGTAAATTACCGCAGTTAGATTTTAAAAAGGGCCATTAACTGCCTGCTGTCAAACGTGACAAGATAGAGAGAGCTAATTTGAATTACAGCACAGTTCAGTGTGGGTGCTATGGAAATTTGACCTCAATTTGGGTTTAACAGCTAAAACAGAACACTTCAGGAGTCTTGAGAGAAAATTCCCTTCTTTCAGAAAATTGTTCGAGTAGAGAGTCACTACTTTTGCACAAATGTCACTGCCATAGCAAAGCAAGAATACAAAAAATATCACTCAGCAATACTGTGACTAATAGCTTGATTTCTGAATCTTGCCAAGTGAAACTGTGGTTTACATTCTGATTGCTAGATGAATGCAAAATAATGTACTTGTTGAAGTGGTTGGGGACCTTAGTTTTCAATTAGAGCAGAGGGTCTTGAGTTTTATGCTTGTTAATGGTAGAGCTCTATGAAGGAATATGTTTCACCTCAGAAAATACAGCTTTCTGGAAATGCAGAAACAGTTATCCACTGATTTTTACAATTACATTATGCATTTACATTATAAGGCAGAATGGTGGCTCTGTGCCTAGCAGTGCTGGGGCCCTGGGTTCAATTGTGGCCAGACACCCAGCACAAGAAGAGATGGGGAGCAATGAAAATGGGGATACAAGGAGGAAGAGGGAGTAGGGTGAGACAGACTCTTCAGTATTGCAGAGAGAGCGAAAGAGAAAAAAATTCAGGATCTCATTTCACTCTTTTCCCCTGCAGCTTGTTGTTCAGTATGTTTTAAATCATTTTAACAGGCTGTATTAGGGACTGAAGTGAAACACTCCTTAGCTTCCTGTGTGTTCCCTGCCAATATCCTTTCTCATAAGCAGGATAAACTGAGGAATAAGGAAAACACAAAAACAACCTGATATACTTTTTATGAATATCCTAGATGTGTTTATAATGGAATAGGCGAGCCACACCGTTAGAATGCTTTCTAATGAGGCCAGGAATTAGTGAACCCCTGCTGTTGTTACCAAGTAAGAAACAGAATCTCAGGAAGGGTTGTACTGACTGTAACTCTGTTTCTTATTTTGCTCATTTACAGCTGCAATTCTCAGGCCGGTTTCTGGAGGAGTTCTGCTTTTTGTTCCAGTTGGTTAATTTATCCTCTTAACTGAACTAGTTGTTTGATTGGCTTGTATATTTTTTAAACAGCTCTTAAAATGTTCGATGGGGTTAGGATTTGGCATCAGTCCTGAGCCAATCTTTGGGTTGCTGAACTCCCTTTATTTAGGGCTCTGAAATTTAAACAACTGGGCAGATGGAGAACAGAGAATGCTTTGGAAGTGTGTGATACAGTCTCCTTTCCACCTGTCTGGACAGCACAGCACCCATTAAGAGCTACTTAGACTGCTACAAGGGAACTACAATTTAATAATCAAGTTAAGGAGAGAATGAACAGAGTACCATTTCCTACATTCTTGGCAAGAGCACACACACAGAAGCGTACTTTTGAAACCAATGACTAAGTGCAGAAAAAAAGGCCAGTTCAGCAAGTAATTCATTTTAAATGATCCAATCAGCATCTGTAACTAGGAGCTCAGTTGGGACGAAAACCATCATAAGAAATATGGGTACTCTAGGGCCAGGGCTGATAACCAGTGTTTTAGAGTACTACTTCTTTTGAATTAATGAAAGTTCATTTCAGTTTGGCAACATTCTCCGCCTTCTCCACGTTTAACACTCCACCACTGCAATACATCAACTGTGAAAACTGAGCTCTATATACCAAAGAGTGGGAATCACATGCTGTCTGTAACAGCATGTAATTGCGTTTCTTCTCTGACAGCTCTGTGCCTAAGGGACGGTTTGAAAAATTGTCTGCTTTGCTTAATGTGCATCAGCATACAGGTAGATGTTATCAAATTCCAACCCACTTGTCTGCAAAACCTTTAGTTTGTTTCTCACTGAACCATTCTTTAAAATGTGTTGAAAAAATCTGCAAATACACATAAGAGATGCACTGTACTGATTATCCTCTTAGGACAAATAGTATCTCTGATAACGTCAAGGGATCTCGATAACAAATAGAAAAAAATAATTCTGTCTAAGCACAGATTCATCACTACTGAATAACTCATTTACAAGGTCTTTGTATTAGTGGGCACAGAGACAGGCCTTCAAGCACTTTTGAATCCTACCTAAACAAATTTAAAACATAACTATTATTGACCTTATGCTCTAAAGTTTCTTCCACCTGAAATTAAACCAATCCATTGCAATAAAAAAACAGTACCTGGATATAAATGTCTTTAGAAACATTTGCTTAAATTCTTAGTTCAATTTAATTACTAAAGTTATTAAAACTGCAATTAAATTATAATCAACAGGATAGTTTGAAATATACTTAAGATGAGGTAGCTCTAGTTATATCCAAAGAATATCTATATCACATTTGAAATATATAATGTCTTCTCAAAGCATAAACAATTTCAATAACAATAGGAGCATTGAAACTTTATGAAAGGAAGCAAAAATGGTAGACTACTGTACACACATACTTTTCATCTGGTTTAAAATTTAAACTACACTCACTAAAGGGCATGACACACCCACAGCAAACAAAGCAGACTGTTCTATAAGCAAAAGAGATCTGAAGTGCCTTTCATTTGTTTAAACAGTGATCTCCCATTTCCTTCTCTGTCAGTAAACCAAGGTCACCTTGCAAACGAGAGATAGAAAGACAGACTTCACCACACCTCTTATGCCAGAGGGCAGTGCCCAGTATCAAAAGCAGGACTTGTTTATCAAGTATACAAAATTCAGGTTTTAAATACAATACCACAGCTGAACAAAAGCAGTCACACAAAAGGAAAAGAGGCAATCCATTCGGTATCCAAGTTAATGTCTCCCAATGTTTATCATATTGAATGGAATTTATAATGTACATACTGAGTACTGTGTCCACACATAGACTTTAAAACTATCTATTACAGTATGTTACACATGACATTTATCTAGAAAAGGGTGAGCTAGTGTTGCCTACTGAGTGCTGTAAGCACCTTCAAACATCAAAAAGCTTCATCCTGCATGTGACAAACTTTAAAATTGTTCTTGAATCTAAGACAGCAGAGTTAAGTATAACAAAAGAACAATTGAACACATTCTGGTACTAACACATGACCAGTCTGACAAAATGTTTAGATCAGAGAAAAACAATTAAGGATAATATTGTACTGCTTTCACCACCTGACTGCAATCAAGGAAGAAAGCTATAGGCAGCTTACACATGTAGTCTAAACAATGCATAAGGCAATATTATACAAGAAACATCACAGTTATACCAAATACCACTATAACACAGCTGAAGACAGCAGGACATTTTGATATATCTATCTGCAAGTGAGACTTTTCATCAAAAAGATTATCAATGATAATCGTACAATGGAAGTGGAAACATACAGGCAGGTTTTCAATGGAATTGTGAAGTACAACAACCTTTCACAGAAGCCTTTGAGACACATTATAAACACTTTCTTGTTTTGGTAAGGATTAAACCAAGATGTTTGAGGCCGGAATTCAAATACACTTGTGAGATATGGACAAACATATTGCAGGTTCAGTCCCTGGAAATGTAAGTCTTTCTTTCAACTTCTCAAATAAGCCATCAAGCTTCCCTAACAATATAGAAACTACCTGGCAACTAGTAGCTACGAA